ACCGGAGTCTCGGTTGATTTCCTTTCCAGCAGCAGTCAAACGTGAGTCGTGAGTTGTGTGTACGCGCACATATAGAATCACATTTTTGATTGCAGCACCGTATATACCGGCCGCGGTACGGTATAGGCATGGCAGATTCGTGATCTTGCGTGAAAGCGAAGCAGAACCGCCGGGCCGGCCTTTCGGCGCTGCTGCATGGGTCGCTCGATCGATCGCGCGCTTGCTGCTGCATCGTGCGCAAAAGAAGCGCAGCGATTCGAGGTCATCCGCGCGGCGAATCTTCTAAATTGTGAGAGTGAATGAGAGTCACGAGTGAGAGCGTGCATGTCGTGATTGTATTTCACGATTGATCCACGCGGCAAAGGTGTCTCTCATCACTTTTTCATTCACATTCGTGTTTGTCGAATTGCGGTTCAGATCGCGATTCGAATTTATTTCCAGTCTCGAATCTGGATATATATATATATATATATACATGCTCTCAGCGATGATTCCGGACGTACCCTGCCGTTGCAGCAGCTGAGCTGATTTGACGGCCCGCCGTAGCTCGGTGTTGGATTGGTCGTCATAGCCGTCCTTTGAGGTCGATCATTGGGGGCATGGCCGGGAATGAGCTTCAGCAAACACGAATCACTCAGCCCGTCACCCAACCACTTAGTCGCCAGCCAGCACATGAGCTTCAACAGCCCGCGATCGCGTCGGCTGCTGGCGTGTTTATAGCGAAGGACATCCTCCCCTCACTCGGCCTTCAATCGCCGCTCCAAATCGAGCTTCACAGCCAGTGGTATTCTTTCGCACCAAAGACGACGAACACCTAGCATTTGGCGGCTGTACCATCATCTTTCACATCACATCACATCACATCCTCTCCCTCTCCCTCTCCCTCTCGCTCTCGAATCAGCATCCAGCACTCGGCAAGCACCCTTTCGCACACAGAGGCATCAACACAGCGCTCGCTCGCTTGTTCAGCTAGGTCCCGAGCTTCACACTCCGCTCTAATCAATTCCTTTGCATGATGGAGCTCCAGTTCGCGGGCGAGACGATATGGCATGGAGCCTGGTGGTCGCCTTTCGCTACCCTCCTGGCAGTGGTGATTCTCCACTACGTTTCCTTTCTCACCCTACTCGACATGTCCTTTCGAGGCCGCATCATTCGCTTGGGATTGATGCTTGTCACGCTTTACTTTGTCATCGACTGGGCTTTCAACCGACAATACACGTTCGGCTCTACAATCAGGGATACAGCGTTCGGTGCGGTAGCTTGGCACCTCTTTGCAAAGACTTTGGATGTCGGACTGGTCTATGACCTGGAGGGCAAACCTCCGCCTCGCTGGTGCGTTCCCGTCTGGCAAAGGGTGGAAGATGGGCGTGCGAATGAAGCGAGCGTGGCGGAGCGCAAAGGCAAGCGGACCCAGCACCATGTAGCACACGCTTCAGCTGCCAAACCTTCCTTCTGGCAGCGCACACCGCTGCCTGGTCGTCCTGCATGGGCTCGCCAACAAAAGCTCATCCCGCAACAATGGAGACTGTTAGATCTGCCAACGAGCGCAGCGGATAGAGCGCTTTGGGCGCTAGACGTCATGTTCATGCGCAGACTGGGCACCTCTTGGCTCTTCATCGAAGAGATGAGGGCACTGGAATGGAGCAAGAGCAAATTGGAGCATGCGGGTGCTGTTCAGTCCGAAGCTAGGAGGACAGGCCAAGCTTTGCCTCGCTACAAGGCTGAACTTCAACCCTTCGGTTACAGCGAAGGGAGCTGGTGGTATGCCATCTTGGATGCATCGCTCTTTGGATGGGCCATCGTATACGTCAGTCAATCTCACGTGCCCGTCAAGTCTCGATGGGATTTCTACCACCTACCATTCGCTCAACAAGCCGCCTTGACGCTTTGCGTGGGCGTCATCATAGGCATGCCAGCAGCTCTGCCAGAGATGATCTTTATCCCTTTGACTCAGATCTGGCCTTTGAATCTGCCTGCTACAGCCATCATACCGACGTTCAGGGATGTGGGAAGGAGTCGCAGCTTATCGGAACTTTGGGGTTTCAGGTGGCACACCATCAGCAAGAGGGACTTCGTGAGGCTTGCCAGGCTCCTGCCAATCGGAGGCAGCAGGAACAAGGCGGCGCTGCTCGTCAAAGTTTTTTTCTGGAGCGGCCTCTTCCATTGTGAGTGGGAACGAGGGAAAGATGAGCCCACGTCTCTTGCGCACTCTGACAGCGCACTCTGACAATCTGACGACACCTTTTTTTTTTCTTTTAATTCCCCGTGCATCAGCCATCCTGCTCACGCGGGTCACGCCACCTCCGAGCTTGTCCGACGCTTGGTCCATCTACCGAATCTTCTTTCTGCCAGGCCCCATGCTCTTCTTTCTCTCTCAAGCTTTCTTGATCCTGTTCGAACAGAGCGTCTCTGCTCCCCTCTTGCGCCTACTAGGTGCCTATCCAGCGTCGAAAGAGATTCCGCCGTGGAAAGGGGCGCTGATACAGGTCGGCATGAACCTCTGGACTTGGACGGCTATGCTCGCTACCGGAAGGTGGCTGGCCGCAGAAGTGGTCGGGTGGAACCTGTTCGATCGGCAACAGATCCTAACCATGCGTCCAGCTGCTCAACTGCGTGACTATGCGGACTTTTTCAAAAGAAATCTCGCATAGCACGCCAGCCTGCTGACATGGATTCAGAGGCGGGCGCACGCGCCATCCTTTTGATGTGCCCACCTGTGCGACAATGGTCTCTCCGTCGCAGCGCTCGCTTCTGATCAATTTCCTCTGTTCTTTTGCCCTCGCACGCATGCTCCTATAATCCGCTGCCTCACCACCTGTCACGCCGCAGAATCTTTTGCTAATTTAGATTTCACCGTTCGTAATGTGTGTCTGCAGTGTTTTGCATGGCGCGGAGGCGTAGTGGTCTCTAAGGGATCAAGTGTACAAGCTTTTCAGCGCGCACGTTGCCCTGCTTCATGTAGTCCAGAGATGCAGGGCTGTGTCGAACAGGTTGCGTGGGGGCATGACGAAGGAAGAGTTGAGCGTGGAAACGTCTTGCTACGTTCCAAGGGGGGATTGTCCGCACTCACATGTCTTCTAGATGACCTCGTTCGGTCAGCTTGGCGCCCTTGTACAGCTTGGAACCGTTGGAAGCGTCGCTCCAACCGGCGGCGAGGCGAGGCCATTCGTTTGTGCGCCACTTGTCGATGCGCTCCACGTCCTCTGGCTTTGCTGGGAAGCTTTGAGATGACAAGAGTGGCATGTCATGTGTTCGTCATCAGCAAGAAGTCTCCCAAAACCAATCTGCTTCAAGTGCGCCAAAAAACCTCGTTGCAAGCCCCGCCTGGATACACTCACTCTATGGCTTTCGCAAATCTCAAGGCTTCTCCGAGGATGGTGTAGAGCAGCGTGAATTCGGCTTTGATGCCTGCTTTTTCGGCCGTCTTGGCATCCTCCTCTCCAATGGGCAACAGGGTGACCACATGAGCACCCTTGTTCTGATCTCCAAGCGCTTGCAGAACCTGCCCCGTCGTTCCATTCTCCGCAACACAGTCGAGCGCAAAGGGAATCGCACCTTCCGAAGCTTTTTGAATCTGTTCAATGACGTCCTCGTCTTTGTAATCGACGAGCAGGTCTGCTCCCAGTTGACGCAACACATCGTGATGCTGCTTGGATGCCGCAACGATGGGGGAAAGACCAGACAGCTTCGACAGCTGAATAGCGTGGTGTCCTACGGCGGTCGCTCCGCCCCAAATGAGAATGTGCTTGCCTGTAGGCTTGGCTTGACTAGGCACCGTGAGACCTTGACGCAAATAGAGCGCCTGAACAGCAGTCAGGAGGGGAATGCCCAGTGCCGCACCTGCTGCGTAGCTCTGACCCTCGGGCAGCTTGAGCGTAGCCCACTCTTTGTATCTTGCGTACTCTGCAAATGCGCCATTGTTTGCTGAGTTGGTCTGTTTATCAAGGCATTACCAGTGGGAGAGCAAAGCATTACAAGTGGAAGAGATTTAAGCACAAGCTGCACAGGAGTGTCGCGCTCCGAGAACAATGATAGATTTCCACTCACACCGTACAGGAACCCGGCAATACGATCGCCCACCTTCAGCGAAGAGACCTCATTACCCACGGCGATGACTTCACCTGCCGCATCGCAACCTCCCACCAGACCAGGGTCTGACCAGCCGCCGAGAGCGTGCTTCCAATCCGTAGGGTTGATGGCCGCTGCATGGACCTTGATGAGCACTTCGCGGGGCGGCAATTGGTTCGCACCCGTGTCGGAGAGGCGCAAGGGCCAGTCTACCACTTTCACGCTCGCTGGCGTTGTTGCCTGTGTGACCACTGCACGGTTGGTCGCGGGTAGCTGTGGAAGAGTCATCTTGAGTCGAGAGAAGGTCTTTTACACCAATGGATGATGTAGGTGACAATGCAGCTTCAGTTGTAATGGTTGAGAAGCCAGCTTTTCTTGCCCACTCACGGCTATTTGACTTAATTGCGTCAAGAGCTGCGTCCTCTCGTCAATCGCAGCTGTGATCACGCAAGACCATGTGCGCCCTCCTCCACTTGATTGCTTGCTTGCTCACGCGCCGTACACGCGAATTCTGCCCGAACGCGTTCGGAGTCTCGAGTTGTGGAAGGCGTGAGCCCTAAACAACGTATATAGCTCGCCCATCTGATTTCCCCGCGTGTGGAGGTGGCGTTCACGTGAGCACCCCTCCTCGGACAATTGCTGTTGGGTTCAAGATTCGTGATAGCGTATCAAAATGTTACAATCAGACGGACCGAATCTGAATCTGAATGTTGAATGCAAGATTCGAATCTGTGCACGAGTCTGATTCGCAGCGGCAGAAGTTCCGATGCGAATTAGAATCCAGATCGCAGCTACAGCAACATCGACTGTGTGAATCAAGATTCGATACGAATGAATCAAAATGACGCATCAGCTGTGCTCATGTTGCACCTCGAGCCGATGGATCTGATTGTCTCCGTGCGGTCAAGAGACAGACTCGCGACTCCACGCAAGCCCGACAATCATGAATTTCGCTTCGCTACCGACTCACGAAAGTGGCTGTGGAGCCAAGTCACGCTTCGGAGACTGAAGCTGCTCAATTCAGAAATCGGGTCGTGGAACTTGATGGGAAGCCGTCAAGGCGATTTCAGTCAATGAGAGCTGTGCTACACGTCTTCGACCTTGTCAAGACGGTGAAAGATTTCTAGGCGTTTGGATCTCGGTCATGGGATCCAAAAGGCATCAGAGATGATGTGGGAACGATCTACGGACTGCGATCGCCGGTTGCTCAAGGCAACATCATGTTCGAGGGTTTGCTGCGGATGCACTGTTCATATGACGACCACTTTACTTTCTGGGCATCTTCTTGGGCATCTTCTTCTTGCCTTTGCGAGGCTTGACTTGACGGAAACGAAGGGTGGCGGGACCTGAACTTACCAGGGGAATTGCGAATTATGCTACGATGAGGGCTTCGTGCGGCATGCTCATCTGCCAAGCCTCGGTGCCTGCTTCACAGCTGAAGGGCCACCGCCATACAGGCAGGCGTGCCATGCGATGTGATTGTAGGGCAGGCCCACTGGACCAGTCTCCGAGCGACCAGCATTTACAATGTACACGCTTTCATCATCGACGAGCCGCATTTTGCATCGCAAGCACCGTCGGTCTAAATTAGACAAAGATTGAGCAAAGGGAGAAGGTGCAGGAGCGGCTGGCGTTTGATGCTCGTCTACATGCATGCTCAGGATGATGGTTTGGGTTGAGGTGGTGCTTGCTGAAGGTGCTCTTGAGCTTCTTGAGGTGAGGGAGCTGATACGTGGCTCGTCAATGACGGAGCTTGCGCAGCACTCTGGGAGGCTAGCGGTACTGCGGGAGCCGCGGCGGCATCACTGATCGGTGCTTCAGCTCTTCGCTCGCCTGGGCGAGGCAATTGGCCTTTGAAGGGAGGAATCGCAGCGATGGCTGCGGGAGGAAGTGGTGCACCTGGGCTTGCGAGGGCGGAGCTTGGTATCGAGCGCGCGAGTGCTGCTTGCGAAGACGCGGCAGCGGCTGCAGCCCCCGCGGATCCATAAGCAAGTCGAGGAGGACTGGGGCCAAACACGCTCCCTGATCGTGGCGATGCCGGTGGTATGATCCCATTAGATTGTGCCGGCGTGCTTTGCGGTGGCGCGCGGGCGAGGGAGCCAGAGGTGGGTCCAGGTCCCGCTGACGGGGCAGGTTGGGGCACGGCCGTGCCTTGACGCTGCAAAAGGGGATCGGAGAGCGCATTGCTGGAAGAGACAATGTTCGGACCGACGCTTCCAAGGGAGCGTGGCGGTCCACTGGGAGTAGGGCTACCTGCGCGTGCAGGGCCAAGATTCATTCCAGGGACAGCATTTGAGGACGCAGCATGGGGTCCAGACAAAGGCGAGCGTAGAGGAGCGCGCTTGATCGGAAAAGAGCCAGATGCACTACCGGAGCCACCAGTGCCTCGCGGCGTGTATGCGCCCGGACTGCGAGCAGGACCTTGCGCCTTGTCCGCGCTAGGGGAAGTCTGTGTGCGCGGGCCAGCTTGAGAGCTTGTGCTAGTGACGGGAGCTACCTTGGGGATGGACGTCTCGCTCGCAAGAGCAGCACTCTGCGGGATGCTTGGCGAGCCGTCCACTCGTTGCGGGGTGACATGGCGGTGAAGCTGCTGCACAGATGGCAAGTCTGCCTTTGCAGGAGGCGCGCTAGCTGCTGCCTGCACGCCAAGGTGGGCGGGATGCACCCCATTCGACACATGCTTCAGCGTTCCGAAGATTCCTGTTGGAGGCGCGGGCGACTGAGAAGGATCGTCAATCAGGGGCAGGGACGTAGCGTGTGGACTGACATCTCCATGAGGCGCAGGTGTCTGGTGTGTCAGCGGCGACGGGGCAGGGGACTGCGAAGGATCCGGTCCGAGCTGCTTGACCTTGATACGGGGTCGCGGTGATTCTGGCTTCTTCGGCTTCGACCGTCCCGGCCAAGGTTGGTCAGGATGAGGAGGCTTGCACTTTGAGCAATAGAAGTCGATCTGATCCCAGTCGCGCGCTGGCCTTCGCACAGATCTATCGAAGGCATTCCAACAGTCCGTATGTTGCCCTGCAGGTTTAGCACGAGGGGTCGTCAGTCTCCTCTCACGCCTGCGCCCGCAAATACAGTGCAACTCACAGACGCCGCACGATTCGCAGCAGACAATCTCGGACGAGTCGTCCAGATTGACACCCGCTTTGCCACACACCTCACAAGCTAGCTCCCAGTTCTCGTCTTCCGTTGGCTCAATGCCATGCTCAACAGCTGAGGCAGCGACCGCTCGCGGATCGTCGTGCTTGGGTGGGATGCCTCCATTCGCAATGATCTCTTCTCTCTTGCGGGCCCGATCTTCTCGCATCCGCTCTCTTGCCTCTCGAGCCTCGATCTCTTTGATCGCCCTTTCTTCGGCTTCTCTTTCCCTTGCATTGATGCGCTCTTCGCGCTCCTTGGCTCGTTCTTCTCTGGCCTTGAGCACCTCATTTGCCTCCCGTTCGCGGTCCCTCCTCTCTTTGTCCTCAGCTCGTAATCTAGCCATCCGCTCCTCCATCTCCAGTCTCGCAGCTCGGTCCCTTTCGCGCTCTTCGCGTTCTGATTCCTTCATCGCGATACGACTGCTTCGCTTCCTGCTAGCCAGAGCAGCCTCTACAGCTCGCTGTTTCTCCACAGCGTCAAAGTCTGCCATGACCCGCGGTATGACGGATTCTTGCAGGTAAGAGTGAAAGGCCTTCTCATCAGGGTGCTTTGATTTGGCGAAGCGCACTGCGATATCTTCCCATTCCAGACGAGTGACAGCGACCTTGAAGCAAGGCGGAGCAAGGTCCTCAGCGACTTCACTATTGCTGTTGCGCGTCAGGGATACTCACAGTCTCGAACTCGATCCAGCCATCTTCCTCTTCCGCATGAGCAGAAAATGCAACGTTTGAGTCTTGCAACTTTGAGGAAGCACCGTTTAACTTTTCGTCCAGTACTTCGCTGTGGGCGTCTACTTTGCCCTGAGTCTGTGGGACAGAGTCTTGCACGTTGTCGACGGAGGCGTGACCCACCAGTACGTCGCCTTTCTCTCCCGTCTCCAACTTGACCGCGGAGGCATGGCCATTAAGAGCTTCAAGCTGCGAATCATTAGTCGGACGCTCTGTGGTTGAGGTATCTGCCATTTCAACGTCCTCGTTCGCAGTCGCATGAGCCGTGTCCGCTTCTTCCTGGACAACAACGAGACTAGACGGGCTGCCATTCAAGTCCTCGTCGGGCGGCTCTGAAAGGTCCGATTCGGACGACGAGCCCCCTTGGGCATATGCTTTTGACCCACGTCCATTTCTTGCTCTTCGGCTTGGTTTGAGAATGTCGCTCGGTACTGCCTCCCATACGCCTTCTACCTCTCCCGGAGCACCTCTGAGCCGTCTGGAGCTGCGTGCGCTAGCAGGCCTGGCCGGCGTGGCCGATTCACTGGCGCGAGCTCTTTTGGCCGGCGTCGCAGGCGCTACATCACTGAGCCTACCTCTCTTCGCGCCAGTCGCAGTAGATGCGGGTCGAGACGGGCTTTCTGTCGCTTTGTCAGCGGTAGACTTGCGCGATGCCCGAGCTTCTGCGCGCGCTCGCTTCGAGCCCTTCTTGGCGGGAGGCAGTGCTTTGGGTTTTGGCGGGGGTGGAGGCTCGGTATGTTGAACCCAAAGCCGGTTGTCTGCGAGCGAAGCGCTTTAGCTTGACTCGGCGCGACTTGCCACAAGCTCTGACGCATACACTCACCATCAAAGAGCCAGTAAGTGTTGTCCTGGCTGTCCCAGCCCACAGGTTCGATACGCTATGTAAGGTGTGCATGTCAGTCGGCAGCCAGTGGGTGATGGAACCCTGCAGCCCGTCCAAGTCACGTACCCAAACTTCTGGCTCCTCTTCGCTCTTGACCAGCTTGCGAAACCTTTCTGAATCCACCAATTGCCACTCGCACAGCGACCAAAGCGCTTTGACCTTTTGTGTGAGTCCCATCGCAGCCCAGGGCCTCGATAGCTCCATGCTGCCCAGTGGGTTATTGCCAGGCGACCGCGCGAGGTATTGCATGCGGAGGTAATGCTCCCAATTTTTCGTGCTAGCGAGCAGGTGCAAGAATGGGGCGGGATCAGCGCCTGTCGAGGTACACGTGAGCGAATGGCTTTCACTTACTCGATATTCTTGTCCAACGTCAGGGTGTACAGCATGCGGCGCACTAGGTCAGGCAGCATGCCAAGATCTTCTCCGTCCAAGTCGCGCTCCAACGCCTATGATTGAGAGAGGAAGGGTGAGCAACTGAGACTGGTGCACTGGACAGGAGCCCCATTGGTAACGTATTCCATACAAAAGAGACAGTAAGGCTCACCTCAGTCTCGAAGCCGCTCATGCCAAAAGCCTCGTCAAACGTAAACAGGAACTGGCAAACGGCAGCAAACTGCCAGTTGCGCCTAAGCTTCGCGACAATAGGACTGATTGGTAAGTCCTGACGCAGCGGCGCAGCAGTAGCGACACCGAGGCCTACTCCTGTCCCAGCCTTGCTGGACTTCCTGGGCTCTGAACCTCCACTTGGCCCTGCTTGAGCAACCTGGTTGGCCTGAGCCATGGATTGCGTAGCTGCTGCGGCTGCCGCTCTTCGCGGCGCCATCTTGGACGGGTGGAAAGATTTCTGGCTAGGCAGGGCGACAAGATCTGTCCTTGGGACTGACGGCGAGCTATGCTTGAACGCTGCGGTGTCTTCCGCTTACAGAGCGCCTAACGCGAGCGGAAGAAATCTTCCGGTCCCAATGCGGTGCCGGGCAAAGCAAAGTTGAGTGGATGTTTTTGGGGAAAGAAGAGTACCGTGCAAGAGATGAGATGATAACAGAGCAAGTGCGGCAATCCTTCAAGTGACTGCAGCAGGCCGCAATGCTGGATGGTTGGAGACCTGAGCACCTCTCAAGAATCTGAATACTGATGAAGAATCGTCATGGAACACACAAGCTCACAGAACGCGGAACGCGAAACCACGACAACCAGCAGCAGCAACTAAAATCACGAATCGCGCGCGCACGCGGCAACTCACGCGCGCCCTTTCTGCGCCAGGCTGCTTGCTGCTGCTGACATGCATGTGATGCTCCTGTCGCGTGCCTCTGGGCGACTGCGAAGATGCCAGACATCTCTCGCACGACAACGTCCAAGATGAATTGCATCACGTGAAGCCAAAGGGCCTCCGGTTCGAAAGTCAAGAATCAAGTCACGAGTCACGAGTTTGAGTCTGATGAGTGTGATGAGTATACTCAAGACTCTAGCTGACTTGACTAGCTGCTGAGAGGCACTTTTCGGGGTTTTGAATTTCTGAGTAATTAGTTGCGTTATTATTGATTCATCATCAGTCATTGATCTTGACTACACGCTGACTGACCAGACGATTGTCTTGGTCTGATTGTGACTGCTGAGCAACACTCCTCCCTCAAGACCACAGGCTACCCTGAAGCGCAAGCTTGGTGAGCTGATGCTCGGCTTCGGCCTTCAGCCACGCGGCTCGATGGATGAAAGTGTCCAAGGACAGTTCTACAGCAGATTCAGTTGCCCAAGGATTGAATGCTTTGGTCTCTGGAGCGGCTTATCCCATGCTCGACAAGCATAACCAACTATTTCAACCCAGGCTTGGTGGGTACATGGTGAAGGACCCAATCGCCACGAAGCGTACATTCGTCCTGCGGCAAGTATTCGAGACTTGCAGCGGGCTCAACAAAGACACATCGCCTTCGATCTCTCCTTAGCCGGTCAGAGTAGGCAAATATAATTCATTACAGCCTTTGAGTTGGAATGCAATGATCACTCAAGGCTGACTTGTAGGCCAGATCTGCGAACGTCATATGAGTCTTGCACTCGCCCTCGTCCTGCGCTGTACGTCTTTCTTCTTTCCGCGTGCGCCCTTCTCGGCTGCGAGCGTAATCCGAGCAATGCTGATGTGCCTCAGATGTGCTGAAAGGGTCGCATGAGGTCTATAAAAGTACGACGACAAGCTCTTCTCGACTTCCTAGCCCCTTAGCGCGACGGAGGATTCGCGCTCCAGCAGCTCACTGCTTTTTTCTCTCTGACCGTTTTTGGATCGGCTCTCAATTAGGCCGCTTGATTCAAGAGGTGCGCGTGGCATGGGCATCGTTTCCTATTCACATCAGTCGTGAGTGTACTGCACGAGGTGCTCATGACCAGCACTTCAACAGCGAACTCTGACTGTGCTATGATCCCCAGAACGCCCTCAGCAACGCGAGGATCTCTCCACACGACCCTGCGTTCGACGCACGTACATCTCGTGCGCGCGAGAGCCATCGTCTCCTATTCCACGCAACTTGAGGGGTTCGCACCGATGTCTGATGCCGCTCGAGAATGTTCGGGCGTGAGCTTTTCTTCACAAAAGAAAAAAGACAGCCAAACAGGGCTCACATTGAGACTGTTGGTGAGCCGTGTTCGGCTTCTGCTGCGGCTCGGGACGTCCGACAAGCTTGACATTGTGGCCACTGCTACAGTCATGAGTCATGGTAAACAAGCCGTGTGCGGACCTAAAAGCGGGGCACGCAGCCGATTCGAGCGCCGTCAGGATGCTCTACGAGAACGGGAGCTCTTGCGGCGGACTTGAATCTTGCACCTGTGGATCAGCTAGCATGCGACTCTGTTCGCTTGCCTAGATTAATGCCAATGCCAAGATTGCGGGGTTCCCGGGGGACAAAGCCCTCTTGCAGTGCGGCACTAGCATCCCCAAGACAACAGACACGGGAAATGCCTTCCGCTGACGTGGTGCAACAAAATTATCCCGGTCTGTTTGGAGGTTAACAAACAGCAAATTCATGCTCCGTCCCAAGCGGACGAGCCAAAAAAATCATCCAGCACGAGATTTAGGGACCGCCGTAAGTCCCTGGTGCCTGTGCGGGAGGGCCCCGAGTTTGCTAAACGTAGCGGAAAGTCAGACGACCATTCACCGCTTCAAGTACCCTGCTCGGCTCGTTGTCAATAACTCATGGATTGAACGACGCTGCTGGCGAGTATAGCCACGAATTTTGCTCGTCCGTCCCTCTGACAGTCGGGAGTCGTGAGTCGTGAATGCAGGAAGTATGGTACCTACAGCACGCACGTAGGTACCAAGCAGGCGCATGAGACAACAGACTTGCCAAGACCAGGCTAGAGGAGGTAGCGAGCGGGCTTTTAGACTGGACGCAGTCGTGTCGTGTCGTGTCGTGTCGTGTCCCGCATGGGCCGCTGAAAGAGCCAAAAGGAATTCGTGATTATAAGGTCGAGGCAGCATTTAAGTGAGGCGGAGTTTGCGCATGGGCCGGCCGCACACGCGCGCGTATGTACGTGTGCATGCTGCACCGCTCGCTCCCTTCGTTTGTTTGGCCGAGCGTGTCTCAGGGCGCTTTTTTTTTGTCATGAAAGCAGCCTGACAGGAGCAGCAGCAGCAGCAGCAGCAGCAGCAGCAGCATCAGCTATTCCTGATGATTATGCACGCAGACGGCGACCGAGCGCGGGCTGGCTAGCGCCAGCCGTTGAGCGACCACGCACAACTTCTTCTCGTCACTTGCCCATCCGGACTCGCGACTCTCTCCCTACCTGGTTCGCATTCGCAAGCTAAAGAAGCTGGTATTTTGCTTTGATCTGTGCAAGAAGCTCGAGGCTCTCAGCGCTGTAGAGATCGTTCTGTTTGTTGGTAAATTTGGATGTTCTGGCTAGCGCCCTAAGAGCTCGACCAGGGGCGTGGTCGCAGCTGTCCGAGCAGGATCAGGTGGCCCTGCATGGGTCCGAGTGGATGACCCCTCATATCGGTCACAAATGAAGTCTCATACGAAAGAAGCGCTAGTGGGCAATTCAACAACCGCTCGAACAGGGTTCGATGGCCCGACGCTTCCCACCTTTCGCATCAGGCGCCACTGCTCCAGACTTGCCTATCACAGACTTGGCATTGCCTCGTTTCGTTTACCAATCGTCAGTTGACCAGCATAGATCACCTCAGTGAACAGCCGGAGCGCTCTGCTCCTTTCGCCGATGCACCTCAATTTCAAATATGCTACTCAGTGTGGGTGATGAGATTCTGATTGGAGTTTGAGTGTGTCGCTCAACTGCCTCTCGGAGGCGTTGCACCTGCCGGGTCATGCGGGTAGCATCTCTCCTCCCCGCACCAGCTTGAGAGCGCTCCCCGAGCATCTTCAGACCTTCTTAAACGGAGGTTCTGGACATGGAAGTTCCCTTGAAGTGTACCCCCATCCCCTCCCTTCCGCCTCTTTCCACCACACCGCCCATTGCTGTCCCTCTTCTCTCTCCCCCACGCAGAATCGGAAACAGAAAAATGTCTTCCCTCTTGCGCTTGTCTGCACTGACCTTGTTCATCAGCCTGGCACTGATCTCTGCCACGCTGGGTGTGCCCATCGACAGCGAGTTGCAAGCAGCGACGCTAGTAGAGCGCCAAAATGGATTCGCTCCTCGTGACACCGCAACAATCTTTCCAGGCGTGAACACCAACACCGCAGGAGGATCTTGCACTTCCAACTTCATCTTTACTGATGGCCCCAACCTCTACATCGGTCAAGCTGCTCACTGTTCCTCCACTGGCCAGGCCACCGAAACCAATGGATGCACTCCAGGCGCATCGCTACCGGAAGGAACGCCAGTGAACATCACTGGCGCGACGCGTCCCGGCGTACTGGCCTACAACAGTTGGGTCAGAATGAGCCGCAATGGAGAGACGGATCAAAACGCTTGCAACTTCAACGACTTTGCTCTCGTCAGGATCGACCCTGCCGATAAGGGTAGGGTGAACCCCACCATTCCCACTTTTGGCGGACCCACGGGCGTCAGACAGAGAACGTCCCCTCTGGGAAACAACGAACCAATCTACTCCTATGGTAACTCGGTCCTCAGACAAGGTCTCACCTTCCTTTCTCCCAAATACGGTCTCAACGTCGCCACTCAAAACGGCGGATGGGACCACAACACGGTGAGCTTGGACCAAAAATCCCGCCGCTTCGGTCCCGCGCATCTGACCCTTCACGCCCTTCCTCCCAGTACACTTTCACCCCCGGAATTCCCGGCGACTCTGGCTCAGGATTCGTCGACAGTCAAGGCAGAGCCTACGGTGTTCTTTCCACGCTGCAATTTGCTCCCCGCCCCTTGTCCAACGGTGTTGCAGACCTGCCCCTTGCACTTCAGTACCTCTACCGCTCGCCCGATTTCGCAAACCTCAGACTTGTTCCCGGCACTGCACCCTTCAGAGTTGCTTTGCCAAGTCTCGGAAGCCTCTTCGGAGGCGGTGCTAAAGCTGCCTCTCAACGCAGCGTGACTCTCAAGGACCTCAAGGCCTGAAGCGCGTGCACACTGAGTTCCATCACATCGTTCTGCTCCATCATCCTCGATGTAAGATCTAGTCATTGGACGCGCAAATTCTGAATTGCATGATGCGTGTCGATTGCGGTCGCCCAGTGTCACATGACTTTTTGTGCCTGATGATCATCGAATAGTACAATTACATGCTGATGTCCTCAGCGTCGATTCCAGAAAGATCCCAGTATGAGACTTGAGTCTGCTGACCGGCTTCTGTCGTTCCAAGCGCAGCTGATTCCGGCTCGCTGAAAATAGCAGCCGTGCTCTTGAATCGATTCAGCGATAACCGCGAAGCGCGAGAGTCTGGTCCGTCTAGCGTGATCGAAGCGATGGGTTTGACCTGTTGCAAGGCGTCTCCGCGGACAGAAGCCGCACTGTTGAATTCGCGCCAGACGTCTCGCGGTCTCCAAATGAGGAGCTGTCGCCTGGTAGCAAGAGCGGATTCGGTCGAGACGAGCGCAATGAGCAATTGGCCGTACCAATCAAAGTCGAGGACGATTGATGAAGCACCAAGAGCACATGAGATGAAAGCAGTCTGTGGATACGACCGAGGTCCGTCTGTAGGTGTTGAGGATTGGGAGATGGTGGAAGCGGTCACGTGCAGCTCGGAGAAGGCTCCATCCGCGCCGCCAGGGCGAGAGCTTGCAACTAGGAGGAACTCAGGTGCGTCCGTGCCCATCATCGCCGTTCCTTCAAGCAGGGTTTCTCGCACCAGCAAGGCGCCACACGAAGCTTGAGAGCTGGCGTGAGTCGAATGGTGATCTCTAGCAGAAACCATCGAGGATGACGAGAATAGGGACTCGCCAGCAAAGCTGCTGCTCGACCTTGGCTGTGAATAGCTCATGGTACGTTCAAGTGCCTCTGAGAAGAGCTTCGACGAGCTTTTGAGCACCGTCTCGAACAACGTCGTCAGACTTGCGCTTGTGGACGAATCCTGCAGCAATGGTGGCACGTGCGTCGAAGGACCAGCGAACAGCATCGGTGCATCGGAACGATGTGCAGCGTTGCCACCAGTCGTCGACGCTTCGGCGAATGTGTTCAGGCGTTCGCGCAGTCTCCTCAAACGTGAACGTAAATCACCAGGTCTCGCCTGGTAGGTCTCCTCGGATCCAATTCTCGCGCGCGTCGCTGCGAGCAGCTCGACAGCAGAATCAGGGCTGTGTGAAGCTGCAAGACTAGCTGTGTCAGGTGCGGCCTCCCGACGATCAGAAAAGTCCTGGGGTTGCGTCGGCAATGGCACACCGTAGAGGGTATGGTCAAGGGTTGGAGAAACGAAGCCTCTGCGGATGAGCTCCGCCACAGTCAAAGCGTCATGGTGAGGCTTTGCAGCTTCTCCGCCTTCAGCGCGTCGAAGCCGATCTTGTCGATCTCGCTCAACGTTCCACCAATTGAAGAACTCTTCCCAAGCCAGACCCTCGCACTCAGCTTCTCGCTGCGCTTTGAGACACCTTTTGAGGGCCATTTGAAGCAATACAATGTTCGCGTCAATTTCTGTAGTGATGGCTGCAGAGTCTGAAAGCAGAGCCCCAAAGCGGGTCGTCCTGCGGGGTTTGCGTCGATCGCAGAGACTTCTGTCAGCAATCAGGGAATAAGATGTTCGCAAGACAAGGTGGTTCACTGACCAGGTGACACAGCCTTTGACCTCCTCATACGTCACCAGCATGCGCTCAGCAGCCTGACTGACGTCCTTGCCAAAATCTTCTGCCAATTTGTCGGCAGCTCTGAGCATCTCGTCCTTCATCTTGTCCAAGACACCTTGAGTGAGGCCTTCGTTGCCAGCAAGCAGATGGTCCAGTGCGTCGGTGACGCGTCCAGTAGTGAGAAGGAGCATCATGTCCCTCTCCAGACCCGCTCTCGTCGGTGCGTCTGGTCGCGAGTAAAATTGCTCTGACACTGTGCGACAGTGAGATTGCCAAGTCGCTGCATGTGTTCGCATTGTCGAGTACGTGGTGCGAATGAAGTGTAAATGTGCCAGCACTTGCGTCGACAGCGCATGAAGATCAGCGGACAGCTTGGCAAGGACGCACGCAGGGCCAAGCAAAGGCGAAAGATTTCTGACAAGGGGCGCACTGCCGCTAGTCTGTATTTGCAGCGGCAATTGATATTGCGTCAACACGATTTGCTCCTCGGCTTCGAGTTGAACAGGCTTTCGCACGACCAGATGCAAGTGCTGAAGATTGGCCGACAAGGCAGCCGACAAGATCTGCTGTGGCTCGGTCCCATGCATCGTGGACGACGTAGGACTTGCAAGCTCCAAAGCCCCGAGATAAGCGCTTCCTTCCAGCAAGAAGTCCAGCCGATCATTGGTCCACGTGACGAGCATGCTGACATCGACGTCTTCCTCGTCAGAAAAGCACTTGCGACGCTGTGCAGCTTTGTCGCGTGCAGCTGTATACATGGCCGTAGATGTGCCCTCTTCCGTGTTCCTCACTAGACGGTCCTTGCTTTCTTCGAGATGGATGTACGGCAACGCGTGGAGCGCAGGCCCAATGCCGCGAACATCAGATATAGGTTGCTCTGAAGCGAGACCTGAAGCGTTGGCCGCTGCACGCGCGTTGGCAGCTGCTAGCTGATGAGGCATCAGCCTCACAGCAGGTCCAGTCGAGCTGAGCGCAGGATCGACTGGCGCAGTCAGCTTTGGCAGACTTGGAAACCCCGCAGAAGGGGCCTTGTGTTTCAATGTCGAGCTTGTCCAAACGCAACCCCCCATTGTGGGTTGTTGGACAGCAAGCGAGGTGGGTGGCAGCTCGTACAAGACCTCGCGATAACCATCAGAGACACGGTGTACAGTGATGAAGCGACGAGGATGCTGCGTTGACGCTTTGCCTTCATCTCCAGCATCGACGAGGACGAGACGATGCAAAACGGCAAATCGACGACCATCAGGACTCCACGTCATGCCGGGGATCTCGTGCTTGACTTCGCCCTTCGTGCCTGCCTTCCATATCTTGGCCAGCGTGAGGTCCACGCTCCAAACCTGCTGAGCTTCATCTCCACATCGCCATAGTGAAGCCTTCATTTGACCTTCTCGGAGGAGTGAGTGGCCTCCCGGAGTTGCGGGTGGAGGCAATCCTCTTCTGGCAGCCTGCATGGCTAGCATTCGCGCTCGGGCAGCAGCTTGAGGATTCAACGGTGCAGCGGGGGCGTCAGAAGCAGATGCGGAAGACAACATTAAGACTACGTCCATGGTTGGTGCGATGGCATCCTTGCACAAATGGTGCCTCCATTGCGGCGCCTTCACTCCAGAGCCCGTCGCTGGAGCCGGCACGGGTGTCCCGACGATGAAGGTCGAGAGACGCGACGCAAAGCTCTCGCCCCGGTCGGCAGCAGATGCGACCTGCCCAGCCCCGTCCATGTTGCCTCTGGCAGGCTGAGCTCGGTTGCTGGGAATGTCTGCAAGCGCAACAGGGCGTGGGCCGTCAGCTCTACCTCTTCAAGTGGCCTCCAAGGAGCGTGGCAGATGCAAAAGACTTCAAAGAGGATCAGGGACGCCCTAGCGTATATATAAATATGGACGTCCTTGTTAAGCGTCGTCGTCAACTTTTGTTAGTCCGACTGGTGCCAGCATGATTCTCATCATTCCTCTCTTCGTCCTTCCCATGCACTCTCAGTCTGAGTGTCAAAAGGTACAGAAGGCTCACCTGCTGATCAGTAACAACTCAGTAACGTCTACATGCTTGATCTGAGTTGGGCCCGAACCAAGAGCTGTTCGCTGGCCTAGCTCAGTGTAGCCCTACTTGATCCTATTTCAGCACTGCAGAGAGAGTTGAGACCGCGGACGCATGCTGCAAAAAAGCGTACACTTGCAGCCCACATCCAAACGGATGATCCTGCCCGGCAGTGTTGAGGTCGAGAGTTGTGACAAGGAGCAGGTGGATGGTGGCGGATGCTCGCCTGCATGTGAAGTTCTTCTGACTGAACACGCGCGCTTGCATCGGACGCGAAGCGCCACGCTCTCGCGCGTCCGCGCCCTTGACGCCACGTGGCCAGACGACTGCCGTCGTAGCCCGCCATGCAGGGACGTGCACCACAGCCACGACTCGGCCCTCAGAGGCGTGCATCTCAATTCTGGCCAGGGGTGCTGATCGACGATTGTTGACGGGAGCTATAGCCCAGACCACACCCATCCTCTCCATTCGCAGGCTTCGCTTCGCGATCGCTCAGCAATCTCACTGACTTCACCACCTCGCATTCGCAACGCCAGACCACATTGCTCCTGCCGCCAGGAGCCACTGCTTGCAGGAGGGTCCCGAGCATTGACTTGACCGAGATGGAGGCGCTCACCTTCAACATGTCTCACGGCTATGCCGAAGGCATTGCACGAGGCTATCGCAATTCTCTCCTCTCCAGCTCCGTCTTTGCCTCGCTCGCACAGTGCGAGACTCTGGACGACCTCAGAATGCAATTGTCAGCCACGGATTATGGCAATTTCTTGGCCGATGTGCCTGGTCAGCTCACTACGAGCATCATGGCTGAGAGGGCGACCAACAAGATGGTGGCAGAATTCGAATACCTGCGAGGCAACGCGAGCGGAGATCTGGCCAAATTCCTAGATTACTTGACGTGAGCTTTCAATTTTCGACTCTCGCCCTGAAGATGTCACGCTTACCCTCCAATCCTGCGCAATCACGTCAGGTACGCGTACATGATCGACAACCTTATCCTCCTCATCACCGGTACTTTGCATGAGAGGGACACACACGAGCTGCTCGAGCGATGTCATCCATTGGGCTACTTCGAGAGCATGCCGGCGCTCTGCGTAGCCGGAACGGTAGAGGAGCTTTACAACGCTGCTATTGTGGAAACACCTTTGGGTGAGTGTCGTCGTGTGCAGCATGACCAATGGCAGAGCACTGACATGCGTCCTCATCCTGCACCAGCTCCCTACTTCCGCAACTGCCTCTCAGCCGCTGACCTGGACGACTTGAATATCGAAATCATCCGGAACACGCTCTATAAGGCTTATCTGGAAGATTTCTACCAATTCTGTGAAGGCCTGGGGTGAGTTTGGCATGGCCTTGTGATGTCCTTGAAATTTAAAGCTGATGCCTGGCTGTATGAACTATAGGGGTCAGACTGCCGAGTCCATGACGACGCTTCTGTCTTTTGAAGCAGACCGGAGAGTGCTCAACATTACTTTGAACTCTTTTGGCACGTCGCTCTCAAAGGAAGAGCGAGCTCGACTTTTCCCATCCGTTGGACGTCTCTATCCCGCCGGCAACAACATCCTCGCTCGCGCAGACGATGTGGAACAAGTCAAAGGAGTATGTGACATGGTGCCAGAATACAGAAGCTTTCTGGACGGCCCAGGCGCCGGAGGAGAGGCTAATGCTGAGGGACTTGAGGACAGGATGTTCAAGGAGGAGACGAGATGTGAGCAGAAAGCGTTACTATGGTGGTGACTTCTTTGTCGGACCGAGCTGACACCAAAGCCGCCTCAAAGTGAATCGCATCGAGACCATCTGCCAATTCCAATTTGGAATCTTCTACAGCTGGCTCAAACTCAAGGAGCATGAAATCAGGAGCATCACTTGGATTGCGGAATGCATTGCGCAGGGTGTGCGAGGTGAGGAGACGATCCCACAGTGCCCCGCGTTTATAGAGCACTAAAGTGACTCCTTCTCATCTCTCCAAATGTCAGACCGAATTGGTGACTTCGTGCAGATTTAATTGTGTCTCTGACTATGATCAGCCTTGTCATTCGCATTAGTCAATAGCCATTGGTTTTTAGCACGTACAGAGTGTGATAGTGACAGGGCATCATAGCTTCATCCTAATGATGGTCCGTGGGGCTACCCAGTCAGCACATATCCATTGGCCATGTGGTCAAACGCTCTTCTTCACTTACCCTGAGAATGTTTCACAGTCCCAACCGTGCAAGCCAGCCACGAGAATAATTCAGTGCAGCTCCAGACGCGGAGGGCGGCGCAATTTTCGTCGTGCGACTCACCTTTCCATATCGTAGCAATACCAAAGCTGAGGTCCTCCCAAGCGCCGTTGACGCTCTCGTCTCCATCCCAGCTCCTCTGCTCGGGATAAGCAGGCAGACCCCACCTTTCCGCTTGAGGGCTTCCAGGAAGATGGAAGCCTGCTTGTGCCACCATGCGAGCGAAATCGGGCTGGGTCGGAAAGCGCTCGATGGACTCCACCAAGTACTGGTAGGACGCGCGGTCAGAGGCCAAGACTGCACCGAGCGACGGCAAGACGGCGTGAGAGTAGGCGCGGTACAGGCTGGCGCGAGAAGTCGAGGAGCGCACACGTCAGCTTTGCAGGCTTGGGTGCATACACGCCACGTGCTTTGCTACTCACTCGCTTAGACCTGGCACATTAACCTTTCCGAACTCCAAGCAGGCGAAAACGCCTCCGGGCTTCAAGACCCTGTGGGCCTCCTTCAGTACCTTGTCGATATGCGTGCAATTCCTGATGCCGAATGCAATCGTATACAGATCCACGCTCTCATCCTCGATCTCCAGGTGCTCCAGTGGCGGCAACTTGGGCTTATTAGGGGATGCAGCGAAAGCGGACAAAGGAGATTTGGGGGGTGGACTGTCGAGGTGAAGTCGGAGATCCTCCGCATTCCCAAGAGCAAAGCGCAGCTGATCGGTGTTCCAGTACATTGTCTTCGCTAGCCTCCTTTGCCCTGCTCGGAGCATGCTGGGATTGATGTCGAGCAGGGTAACTTGTGTTTGTCTGTCCGAGTGTTTCTCTCTAGCATGGTCCAATAACCTCAACCCGATATCTCCCGTGCCGCCAGCGACGTCCAGGCACTTGATTCCGCCTCGAGGGTTCAGTTCTGCCACGAAATGATCCTTCCACAGCCTGTGCACGCCAACTGACATGGCATCGTTCATGACATCATAAGAAGATGCTACGCTGCTAAAGACCCCCCTGACCAAATCCACTTTGGAAGACAATGGCACATCCTGGTAGCCAAAATGCGTCGTTCCTTCCCCGCCAGCAGAAGCCCTAGAATCTGGGAAAGCAGATGACGATCCGTTTGAAGATAGTGAGGATGAAGGGTTGTGCTCGCCAGGTGTAGAGCTGGAAGTCGAACTCTGGCCCCGGGTGCAGGAGGCGTGGAGAGCCCTTCGAGCTGCCAGACGTGATGTCAGCGACCTCTCACACAAATCTAGAGTTTGTCTGCGCAGCATTGATGCAGCGTCGCGGAACAGAGAAATGCTGGCTACAGTCGAAGAGTATCGTTGCTGCGAAATAGAAGTACAAGAAGATAGCTGACACTGATCGCAACGCCGTCACCCGCAGGGTTGACCCTCTGTTCCGTCGTCGAGACGTACCCCGAAGTTTTGCATCCGTGCATGAAAAATCAATTCAAATTCACGATTCAATTTGAATTATGATTGGTCATTCGCGTTCGTACAGGTCACGTGGTTTTTTACGGTGGTCTGTGCATGGCACGGCGAATCGGTTGGCGTCTGTAGTCGTGAGTATAGCAGGCTAAAGATGCATGCAGCCAACGACGCCAGCAGTGCGCGAAGGCTTGAAGTCAATTTCGACTGCACGAGTCGAGCAGCGTCGCCGCGTCGCAAGCGCGTTGACAGCTCAAAGTTGTCGCTGGGCACGCCGACAGCATGTGTTGGCCACGCAAGATGCGGCCAGAGGACCGACTTAATTTAGAACATTTCAAACACTCTTGACGAAGCGATACTTGACTTCACGAACCAGTGTATCCAGCTTCGCTGATCGTGAATACAGTATTTCACGTCCTGGAACCGCACAATCTCCGACCCAAACATGACTCAAGTACGGTACCGTCAGGCCAAATTCACGACTCTGATGAGCGTCCAACCTACTCTGACTGTACCTTCGGCAGGTCGCGTCTCGCCCTGCAGCCGACGGGCGGGCGGGATGACGCCAAAGGAGCGGCTACCGCGCTGCAAGGGGGCGAGGCCAATCACGAATGGCAAGCTGCGATGCACACCGTGTTGTTCGAATTTCAGAGCAGTCACGAGTCGATAAGTCTAATATTTCAAATCACGGGGGATTCTAGTAATTCACAATTTGAATGGTTCGTACTGCCAGCCTAATCAAGGATTAAACTGCATTAACGTAAATGAAACGCCGTCACATGCCGCGCCTTTTGCGCTTGGTGATGCGGGCGCGCGATGCGTGTGGGCTCGAGCCTTCTGCTGTCCAGCCGCCTTCGCATTCACGATTGGGTGGGGGAAGCATGATGCAGAATTGAAGACTGACCAGAGTCCTTCTTGATCTATGATCGCTTTGTTGACCTGAGAATGACCAACTTACACAACTCCACCTCTCACCGAATTTGTGACAATAACTCGCACAAGGCTTCCTCATCACAGGTCACTCAACACTGGAGCGCTCGTGGCGATAGAAAGGACAGAAACCCTGTTTTACAGGAGCTTGTTCCGCCTTGCCTGTTGGAAGCACGCTTGATGGCCTATTCGAAGCGCTTCTTTACCCTTAACCTCCCCTGAATCGCACTTACACTGAACATTTCAGCATCCGACGTGGATAAATTCGGTACGCGAAAGCGCCATAGCTCCGAGCACGACAATTCCGCGCGCGAACTTGGTTGACGTGCAAACAGGACTGCCACTGCTCTCACCAAGCTCATCGAAGGGCCCGACCTTTTGCACCATGGCTCATCAACCAGGGAAGAGGGAGATATTGGAGGCAGCGCTCGGCCAGATCACCAACAAGCCAGCGCCTCCAGAGATTGACTTCACGATCCACACAACAGACGATGGGACTCAAGTGTCGACAGTGGAGAGGGTGATCAAGGATGTTCAGGCACCTGCCATGCTCCCTCCCACGGACGAACAGTTCTACTCTGCGCAAGACCCTTCCAAGCCTGATATCGCTTTTCTGAAGAATCACTTTTACAGAGAGGGTAGACTCAAGGAAGAACAGGCTTTGTTCATCATTCGGAGAGCCACAGAGATCCTCAGGCAAGAGCCTAATCTGCTCGAAGTCGATGCACCCATCACAGGTGAGTTAGCCCTCTCCTGAATGCTTTCCCTTTGACGAATCTGGCCCGCGTGGCTTCACGCTTGCGTCAAGCAGAGCCGACTGCACACTCGCTCGTTGGCAGTCGCTCCCTGCGCTTGCAAGCACACAACGCTGAAACTTTCCCTCGCCTTCGTCATCAGTGTGCGGCGATATTCACGGGCAATACGTAAGTGTGCCAAAGCTGGCTCTTCACCCTTCGTTTACTTTCCCTGACACTCCTCCCGCCCAATGGTGACACTGCAGTTTGACCTGATGAAGCTCTTCGAGGTGGGAGGCAACCCGGCAGAAACGCGGTACTTGTTCCTAGGAGATTACGTAGATAGAGGCTACTTTTCCATTGAAGTGAGTGATCGAGGGTGATAAAGCGCGGAGCTGCAGGGCCGCGTCACCTTTAGTCAGCGAGTGAAAGAGACACGCCCCACGCAAGCTTGAGATGTGCTCACTCTCCGTGGCTATTCGGCTCTGCACAAACCCTTTCTCTTGCTTGTGCTGACCCCCATCCCCTCTTTGAATGCCATTCCCTCGCAGTGCGTACTCTACCTTTGGGCACTCAAGATTTGGTACCCAGAAACGCTGTTCCTTCTGAGAGGTAACCACGAGTGCAGACATTTGACCGACTACTTTACCTTCAAGCTTGAATGTGAGTCTTGTTCAGCTGCAAGTGAGCCTCTTTGCTGGCTGAAACAGATGCGCATCTCGAACAGGCAAGCACAAGTACTCTGAGCTCATCTACGACGAATGCATGGAGAGCTTCTGCACTCTGCCACTGGGTGCTATCATGAACAAACAATTCTTGTGTATTCATGGAGGACTCAGTCCCGAGCTGCAGACCCTCGATGATCTCAGAAATGTGAGCGCTCACTATTGTTTTCGTGGGTCATAATCAATTCTCTGACTTGGACATCCTTCCCACAGCTCAATCGCTTCCGCGAGCCTCCAACACACGGGTTGATGTGCGACTTGTTGTGGGCAGACCCTCTGGAAGATTTTGGCTCGGAGAAGACGACCGAGACGTTCATTCACAATCATGTTCGGGGCTGTTCTTACTTCTTCACGTGAGTTGAATTGAAGCCGCTGCGAGTGCATAAGGAAGGCACTGATGAGCGGGCAAGTCGGCTCTCCCAGATACCAAGCTGCGTGCCAATTTTTGGAGCGCAACAACCTACTTTCAATCATCAGAGCGCACGAAGCGCAGGATGCAGGATACCGCATGTATCGCAAGACGAAGACCACTGGGTTCCCTTCTGTTATGACCATCTTCTCGGCGCCTGTGAGTTCATCTTCGGTGCGCTGTATGGCGCTCTTCGGTGCCGTTGCCTGAGTCTTTTCCTCGCGGACGCAGAATTACTTGGACGTGTACAACAACAAGGCTGCGGTACTAAAGTACGAGAACAACGTCATGAATATCCGTCAATTCAACTGCACTCCTCATCCATACTGGCTGCCAAACTTTATGGACGTCTTCACATGGTCATTGCCTTTCGTCGGCGAGAAAAGTGAGTTAATTACCGCTGATTTTGAGGTGCAGCTTTCAGACATTATTGCTCACGTCCCTTGCGTTTACCAGTCACCGACATGTTGATTGCTATCCTCAACATCTGTAGCAAAGAGGAGCTCGAGGAAGAGGAGGAGGAGGAGGAGGAGGAAGCATCAGCACCTGCTTCCGGAGCTGTGACCCCAGGAGAGGGAGATGAGATGGAGACGGATGAGGACGGCGCCGAGCGCAGAGTCGTGATCAAGAACAAGATCCTGGCTGTCGGTCGTATGTCCCGCGTCTTCGCGCTGCTTCGTGAGGAGGCCGAGCGCGTTTCGGAGCTCAAGGGAGCTTCATCCTCGGGCAAGCTGCCCTACGGCACCCTTGCGTCGGGAAGCGAGGGCATCAAGGAGGCAATCTCAAGTTTCGACGATGCGCGTGGCGCAGATATCGAGAACGAACGTCTACCTCCCGACTTAATCGATGCGGACGAGAACGAGCCAGCGTCTCCCGCCGATGGCAAGCGCTTGTCTTCTCCTAGCATGGACGAGACCGAAGATGTTTCAGGCTCGAGCTACGGCCCAGGTAGCTCTTCGGTTCCATCTTCCCCCGGCGGTGTTTCCAGCACTGGAGAGATCTCAGGTGCCTCCTCGTCTGGCCGATCTCATCGCCGAGGTCACTCTAGAACTTCCAGCCTGGGCACGACGAACACCTCAAGTCCGAGTAACAGAAGGAGAAGCTTGGAGAGCACTGTCAACATGATCAAGGAGGCCTTGTCCGGAGAGGAAGGAGGCGACGATGCTGTAAGTCGTTTCAGACTCGGGCCTGCCGTTGATGCGATTCGATCTCATCATGCGCTCTGTCCCTCTTCTCTGCCATGCGCAGCACATCGAGAAGCTCGCCAACGACATCAGCAGCCCATCGTCACCGAAGACGCGCAGGTCGATCGAACGGACGCAGAGCTGATGAATGCCGTAGGTAGGCTTTGCAGAATTTCTAGGCGGCAGAGCGAACGCGGGCCGCATCTGGACGCCCTCATCTTTGATCTCAAGGTGACGCTTGAGGCGGCTGAACGAGTCTAACGGCCAGTCATGGTTCTCCGAAGACCCCTCCCTTTCTTCTAGCCCGCAATCATCACCTTCTTCAATCCCTCGAGTGATCCCATTCACACTCTCACCTCACGAATATCCTCCTCTTCTTCACGTCTTCCTGATATACTGCGCAAAAACATTCGCTAGCAAAGCGATCACGTTGCAGCTGCATTCTCTCATACGACTTGGCTCAGGATCCCAAAGACTCGTCGAAAGGGTGTCTTTTCACAAAGAGGCTTCCGCGAACATTGTGAAAGAGCTGTCTCTGTCTTCTGGATACGAGATTGAGAGTGCGAGCTTGACATGTAGAATGCGCGTAATTAGGGATGGAAGAAGCCGATGCTGGCACAAAGAAGTGCCTATGTCGGCACAAGCCGCTGAAATTGACCAAAGCAGTATGCGGTGAACGCGAGCTGATTCAGCCCGTCTTGTCGGTTGCTGCTCCGGCATCAAAAATGGTGTTGGCTCCGCCAGACGCAGAAGCTGAAGGCTGAGAGCCAGTCGCGCCGGGTCCGCTGCCTGCAGAAGCCGCTTTATCGCCGCTCAGATTGTAGGCCTGAGCGACCGACTCTACCGGAGATGCGTGGAGGAGTAGAACATCAGCGTGCTGCTGGAGCCGTGGAAAAATCGCTTTTACGACTCACGAGCTCCTCCGCCAGGAGTCGGCACGTATGCTTGTTGGGGCAAGCCGCTTTCATCGACTGCTTCGGCAGCCTCGACCACTTCGTACAGATTGCTAGCAGCTTCGGGAGCTGGCACTTTGCCAGTGAGCAAGTCAGCGGCAGGAATTGGACTTCCGTAGAACTCCTTGTTGGCATCCTTCCTCTCCACAAGAATAGATCCGTCTAAGGAAATGCCCGCGTATAGGCCCTTTGACCTTGAATAGCTGAACATGGGAGCCGGATGCGCCAAGGCGGCTTGAGCACCTGCTCCGACACCAATAGGCCCGGCCGCAGCAGACATGTTGCCTCCGATGGTCAAGTTGCCAGCGAGAGCAAAGGATCGCACAGCGTCCTCTCTGAAGGTCAGTGCATGCGGGGCAGTCTTTCGAGTGAGCAGGGTCCCGAGGTATAGAACGGCACAGTCAAGCCCCGGCACGCACGAGTTCATGACGACGACGAAGTCGGAGATTTCAGCACCTATCTGCAGACCGAATCCTGCTCCACCTGTAGCGATGCAGCTTGGCGCCGACCAGCTCCCGTCCGGCAAGCGAGCGATCACTACACCACTACCAGCTCTGCCCGACCAGACGAAACCCTGCGCCTCATAGCACATCCCGCAAGTCAGTGCTCCATGCCCCAGCAGCCCGATCGCAAGCCGAAGAGGAGAGACTCACGGCTTTGATGACGCTGAAAACGGCCAGACCTGTGACACATCATCGCAAGGTGTTTGCAGTAAGTGTGAATTGCCACGTCTCGTCGCTGATCTCTCACGTACCCTTGGCATTCTGAAGCACCGCCTTGGGAATGGAGTTGAGAGCAGAGTCCGGGTGGTCTGGATTGGCTACGAATGCTTCGAGGATCTTGGCTGCCTTCTCGCACTCCTTTGGAAGTCTGAAGTGCAAGTGATTCGACAAAGGTCAGCAACGTGCAAGGGAAGCTCGCTGCGCTGTGACAGAAGTCGACAGCGGCCTTCTCTTTGCAGCCGTTAGTAGAAGCCCCAAGCATTCTGGCACTCAGGTACAGATCGACGATCAGAGACTGACACAGAAGATGCCGCTGGACCCGAGTGGAGCTTGGCGCGCTGCTTGAGCGATCCAAGGGTACCTCCGCGTAGACAGTGCACATGCCTTTGCCACTTTGAGCTCGCTCGCACCTTTCCCGTCTATGCGCCCGTCTCCCCAACGCTCTACTGATGTGCTGCAAATGTCACATGAGCTGTCGCTTTACTCACGAGAATCCAGCCCTGGCAAGATTGGCCTGCTCGTTGATCTGCCTACCAGCATCTTGTGCGAATGCGGTAGCCTGAATGCCAACCTTGGTTGCAGCAGATTGGAATTTTGCTAGGTAGTTCGCCATGTCGAGCCTTTTCTTGCAAAAGGATTCTGTCTAACTTGTGCGATGATCGTTCCACAACTGTGGCCAAGGTGAGTGTAAGCCACGTATCGGTGCGGGTGGCTGTGAGTTCCCAAGAGTTCCCGCGAATGTCTCTGAAGATTTCTGATACGAAGATTCAACTTGGCGTGGATGTCTGATTTTCAACCCTAATCTAGTGTCGCTCTTGAGACAGACTTGTGGAATCAGAGGTTGTTGTCGGTGCTTAGAACTTCATCCATCAGTTGCCCATTCGTGATTCGTGATTGCATCTTGAACGCTGCTGCGCGTTACCTACTGCTGCACGATGCTGCGCGCGATCGTGCGATGCTCTCTGTCCGTACGCCGTCGAGCAGCGCGTGGACTTGCGGGCGACCATGCAATCGTGCACGGACGCCACTCAGCATGCAGAGATCGAGACATACAGTAGGCGCGCATGCACACGCTGTATGAGTAGGCTCTCCTATATATGAGGTGTCCTGCGCACCGCCACAGATCAGATCACAATCAAGAGGCACTACTCACGACTAATCTCACATTCACGATTTGTGATTGCTAGTGAGTGAGTAGTATTGTTAATTTAAGTGCACGTTTACGTTGTGTGTGTGCCCAGCTCTATGTAGACACTCACAACTCATTACTCGCGTGTGACGGACTCATCACTGCTCCATTCATTTGACTCGGGTTGGCTTTCTTCTGCTACGAGGCACCATGGTCCAAGCGCGCCAGCAATGGACGTCACCGCCCCTCAGGAGGTCGAGCTTGCTTGATCTCGAGTCAAAGAGTTGGTAGTCCAGCAAAGACTGACCATCAGTTGTCGCTGGCTCCAAAGATGGTGTTGGAGCCTCAGCAACATTCAGGCGTATGGAAGCCCGCGCGAGGACCACCGCGCTACAGCATCAAGGGAAGCTGCGGATGCAAAGGGATCCGCCCAACTTTGTTATTGTACGCGCCCATAAAATGACTCTCGCGACAGCGGTCTGGCAAGCGGGCGCCCGAACTGACCGATGGCCGAATCATGTCTTGCGACGGTCATCATACGCTAGCAACCTTGAATCCTTGACAGAAAAGGTACGTGACTTACACGCATCCTGGCATCGGTTGCATACCTTGAATCGAAATTAAAAGATGCACGCGGACTTGCCTGGCCGTCTGCTGCATGGAGTCCAGTCACACCGTCGCCCTGGTGGTGCATCAGTTGTCCTCCGTGGCTGGTTCGCTGCCACACTTGACACCAACAGCTATGTGTTCCACGCGAAGTGGCTGTCCCTCTCGCAAATGACGGAAAGGATCTGGAACAAGAGCAAGCGTCAGCGATGCATGTGTTGCGTCATCAGAGCGAGACTGCCGCGACCGCGATCGAGAATGGTGATGAATCTGGGCGAATCAGGTTCACCGCGGCCTCCTTTTCGTGTGTTGCATGGATTTACACGATCAAGCGCTTCCTCACATTCACGATTCACACTCACGACTCTTAACTTTGATCAGGCGGAGCAGATTCGCGAGGGCAAGGCCGCGCATTGTTCTTGTCTTGATGCAATCAAGAATGACTCGAGACGTGGAGGTGCGCACAAGCCAGACTCTCAACGACTTAGCACTCACGACTCTGGCACGTAACATTCTTGGTTGCGAATACAGACTTCCGATGGCCGTGAAGTCAAACGACCATCAGTCTTGAAAAGTCGCATTCCGAATCGAGGGGTGCACTCAACAACTCTAACTATGGCCAGTGTATTCACAATCGCTTCGTGCAGGACCACATCCGACTGGAAATTGCGGTACCGCAGGCGGTCTTTTGCGCCTTGAGGCTTCCACTCCGGCGGGCCGACATCAAACTCGAAGCTAGCCATTATTCAATCCCGATTAACGATTGCTTATCTTCGAGGCCAGAGCACGCGATCTTGTCACCGCCTTCTGAGTTTTGAGTGCATCATGGCGTGCCGGGTCTTTGGCTTTGAATCTGCGCCGTGAGGGTATCGTTCAAGCCATTCTTCCCCTTCTTGCAATCTCGACTCAAAGATATACCCCGCCGCGATGCATCTAGGCTTTGTTAACTAATCATACCTCCACAAATGTGAATCACATGACTCAGGAGCGCGCCGGCCCCACGGACTCAAATATTGTCTTACGGACCGTTCTTCTACCCCGGATTCCTTCACAGCCGCGCGCCATGATGTCGGGCAGCACAGCATGTGGACCGCTTGATCGGTCTCAGGTACTCTTGACTCCATCTAGGCGCGCTGATAGTGGCACCTGTCCCCCGCTGCGACGAAGATGGCCGGGCGACCGACGACCCAAATTAGGTCTAGATGGTCGGACCGTGGTGGTACATTCCGCACCTGAAGCTTCGAGTGGAAGTGGACTAGCTTGTTGTGATAGGACAGTCACATTGAACGAGAGGCGGTCGAGGAGACGAGTACCGTGGTCCGCATTCATTGCCATTCAAGATTGTGGCGTGGCGTCGAGGTGGGGCGAGAAGAGCAACAAAGGCAAGACAGAAGAACAAAATGCAAGCCAGGCGTTGTTCTCGTGCTGCATTCGTGATTATTCGCGTGATTCCGTGATTGACGGCTTTGCGCTTTACGTGATGGTAGGACAGAGAAGGCCTGCCGGAGCTGCTGCCGTATTTGGCGCCCACAGCCGACGCGTGATGCATGCTCGCTCGAGGGTTCCGCCGCGGTGCGATTTTTGCAGCGCGGAAGAAGCTCTGCTGGCTGCTCGTACAGCATGTACGGTACATACGCATAATCAGTCGTGATTGGTGAGTCAGGCACGAGTTGTAACCTCGTGAATCACGCACGAGCGGGTGCTGCGGTCGCGTGTGACGCTGTCATCGTGCGTCACAATGAATTGAACAATCACATCACCCCCTCGGTGCTCGAAGCGCAGCAGCGACTAATAAGGAGCTTGACTTTGACCGACACTCGTGCACGACTGCGAGGCAACGCTTTTGTTGGTCCACAGCACGATGGCAGGGGCAAGGCGTGGCACATCAGAAGGCGCAATTGTGAATGGGCACAACAACGCGAATGGCAAGACGCCGGGTACATGGATGGCTGCCTAGCTGCGACAGATGCGCCCGCCGAAGTACCTTTGCAGTGACACAAGCTCGGCCGGCACGAGGTATCTCCTGGATTTGCTCGCGACTTGTGGCACCCAATCACGAATCACACATCTCTAGCTACACTCAAACTGCTGATGCTATCTTTGCTCTGTCAAAGATGTGAAGAATTTTGACGTCGGATCGCGCCACGGATGCAGGATGTGAGTCACAGTCACAGTGGGACTTATCATCATACGAGACAACCAAGGTTGCGAGCACCCATGCAGCAGTTCGATGATTTCTGCTACTTTGATTCAAGACTGCTCACTCACGACTGAGTCGGCCTGAGTCCCGCAATAAGCGTACCTCACGAGCGCCACGCAGTCTCAAACGCATTCAGCAGAATGGTGAGCTCTCCCTCGGAGCTTTGCATTTCACAACTTCTGAACCTCGTTCTCGTAACCTAGCTATATAGCGCGCCCTGAAAGACCTGCGCTCCCTCCCAATTCCGCAAATTTGGAGCCGCGCACGAGGGATCCCAAGCCACGCACTACATATAAAGTTCGATTCGCGGCTGTCCGATATAGTCTTCTGACTGCGCAGAGGGACGCTCCTTCATCACTTATGAAATCCTACAGCCAGAAGAGGCTTGTGATCGCTCCAGGCTGCTGCTCCGTGCCACAACAACGCCAATCGCACCAGCGACAGCGCAAAGTGCCACCTTCCCTTGGCCGTTGCACATCGGTTGGCCGTCTTGCGTGATCCGGCGACTTGCTAGGCGTCAAAGTGAGTGTGCTCAAATCAAAGTCACAACACAAAGTCACAACAACTTTAATCGTCTTGCCTGCTCCCTACTCTGACCCTGACTTCTCTTCTATGGCCGCGCAAGTTAGTTCAAAGTCACAATCAAGCATCTTTGATTTGGCGCGGTCGATCACGCTGATCAGCGAAACTCGACTTGAGGGTCGGCTAGCGAGCGCAGTAAGTGGACGGGCGTACATGTCTTTGGTCCAAAAACGTCGAAGGACCGGAATAAGCACCTTGTATAGCATTCTTCCCGTCGACGCGACTTGCCCTACGACCCTGGTCCTCAATCAAAATCAAGGATTGATTCAACATAAGCTTGTAAATGGTCGGCTGATGTTTCAAGGCGTGCTATATTGCGCCGCAACGTCCCACCCGAGCTTTGCTTCTCTCCATATACAGGAGTCCAATAGCGTCTCTGCGACACAAATTGAAAACAGCGACCTACCCCTTTGTGGGGACCATCGCTCACCACGCACGCGATCCTCCGGGGCCAAGACTCATAGACCTGAGCACGTCAACCAGCAACCTGAGAGCGACTGGGAACATCGTCTGTGTATGACTGCAGCTGCACGATTTCGTGATCGAGGCTCAAATACGGAAAGCATCACGCTCAGCCCACTGAGCAGCAACATCCGCGGGCCAGACACAGCCTCACGCGGGAGGCGCGCTGCGCAAACGAAGAGATCAGGTAAAATTGTGATTGCTCTTGTGCCTCTCACAATTTGGCACGTGCGCGAACTGCCAGAAGTGTTGTTCTCGGGGTGAAAAGGTGCGAAGAAAGCCAAATCTTGTGTCATTTGCGTTAGACTTCTTTCTCAGGATTTCTGCTCACTTGAGCGCCTATATCTCGTTCTGCTCTCAGGATATTTCCCATCGCCGTCCCTGTCTCTCCGCGGACGCCATCAGTCTGGTCGAGTGCCTGACGCCAACTACACTTATAGGGCAGCGCATTTGTGGGTCAGTCGGAGCTGCGCAAGTCCTTGCCTCGCCATCGGCCACAGAAGTGATCCGATCCCATTCACCATTGGGTGGTCACCTCCGAAGCCACACTCTTCGATAGGTGCCCCCATTCAAACAAAACCTCCAATAATCTTCAAATCCTTTCCTCCCGGGACTGCTCAGCACGGTCGTATGCTGTACCGGGCCACCGTCGTCGACTTCGAGGTCCAAAAGCTTAGTCAAGATCGCAAGGTCCCTGGCAGGCGCCGATGCCACATACATATATTGAGGATGGGGAGGCACATGCCTCACACCAATCCTCCACCTTCATTCCTGATAAGATGGCTCCGGCGCCACCTCAACCTCATCTCGACACCTTTGCTCAGCCTCCCTCCAACACTCAAGGTCGCATCAAGGTACGTCCTCTAAGCCAACCACCCAACGTCGCTTCGCCAAGAAACAACTGCGCAGGGCAGTCGATCACTACTCGAGCTGGACGACGAGCTTCCAGTCTAGCTCTGATTCCCCACAAGGTCAACGAGGCCTCCGGCACTATGAGTCCAGAGCATAGCTCTCATCCTTCGAACGAGTCGTTAGCCGAACCTCGCAGAGGACGCTCCCTCAATCGCTCCTCTCGAAGAGAAGAGATGCACACCAGAGGCCGTTACAGCATATCTCCAGCACGCATTCGACGTCTCCCACCCACCAGCCTACAGCTGACCAAAATGAACGACAACGAAGAAGCCAGCTTCCGCTCCTCAGATAGAACGCCATCGCTGTATCAGACTACCGGTGACAGCATCGTCGATGAGCTGCTTGCTTCCTCGCAAGAAAGCATTGAGCGCGACTCTTCTGCTCAAATGATGCGAATCCCTCGAGTGCCTACTACAGCACCGGCACATTATGCCGTCGACCCCCTCAAGCCCAGCGTCGACTCAGTTCCTGCCACTCAACCAGTCAGGTCGCACCATGTACATCCAAGTGTTCAAGACCTGGGCGACATGGATTGGACTCCCGAAGTCGAGCCTAGGACCTCGATATTCCGTCAGCTTCCTCTTCGTGCGCGCACAAGCTATCCGCCGCAGAGCGCCAGCGCTTTGACGACTTGGGGCCCTCTGCCGCAGCAGCGACACCCTCAACGAGAGCGAGACTCCGTGCCCCAGCTGCCGCCTTACACCAACCACCTTCTGCGGCGTTATGCCAGCGCACGATGTGCCCGTACCTCAGCGTTTCGCAGTCCAGATTGCTCGAGAGGCGTTTGGCTTGGCTTCTCTGATCTTGATCGCTCCAATGACCGCCGTCGTCAGGGGCATGACAAGCACCAAAGTGTCGACTTCTTGTATTCGGTGCCGTCCTTCTTGGATCGCTCCAAAGCATCGACTTCGCCATCTTCGCCATCGACTTGTCGCCACACATCGAGAGCTTCCGTGGTACCAACCATTTGCGCTTCTCGTATGCCGCATGGTCAGCGCCGTCACACTACCTTCGATTTTGCTGCACGCCAAGAGCACGGTTTCACCAAGCGACAGACAGGGGAGAGCGTTCATTCCACACCTCTCACGCACAGCGTTGCGGACTTCACCGGGCGCAACCGCTCGAGTACCAGCTCAGCACGAGCTACCAAGTTGCAGATCGGATTCAGCCCGACAATTGCTGTCAAAGTCGATCGTTCGCAGGCGTTGGGAACGATCAGCACTGCCGAAGAGCGCGCTGAGCCCACGCCAAATGGCGCTACCCCAGCTACAGATGCTCGAGGCCGACTGACCGCATGCGCATGTGGTGATGGCGACTGTGCTGCATCCCGTCGTCGTCTCTCAGAACCACCGGCCTTCGCTCGCACACCACCATCGCTCTGCATGCAGTCTGCTTCGGATGGGGTGAATGCTGCGCAACGCCGTTCGGACCACGCAGTTTCTCTCTCTCTCGGCATCGAAGGCCATCAGAGCAATGGGAGCAGCGATGCAGAGGCAAAGGCGCCCACCGTTTCTTCTACGCAACAAGCTGCTTCTGTCTCAACGGCATTCCTAGCAGCTGATGACCGTACGACTACAGTCAGCGCTGCCGTTCCTATCAGTGCTCCAGGGCGTCGTCAGCTAGAGCTCTTTGCGCACACTTCATCCGACCGTCAGGTATTTGCGCGTCGAAGGGCCGGACTAGACGACGACTCGTCGATAATTGCCAATACTACCACCCCGTCCGACCGTGAAAGCGATGTCTTCGGCAATATCAACCCAACCGCTTTCTGCGATGAGAAACGAGCTCTCGCCGGTCCAAATCGCAGAGGCGCTTCCGGTGACCGTGTAAGTCTCACACGCCATGATGCGCCGACGGTGGCCTCAGCTAACAGCTGTCCTATTCTTGTGTGTGATGGAAGCTCCTCGATGTGGGCGCTAGTCAAGATGTTTCATCCTGGTCCGCATCAGAAGCTCGCGCTTTATCCCTCAGGAACCGCTTTGGATTAGGCCAAACTACGCTCGCCTCGCCTCACGTCGATGCAGACTTCGTCAGCCTTGCAGCTCTCTGCGCAATGTTCGAGCCCAGAGCGGCTCCTGCTTGGCGTGTTCCTGGCTCGATGACTGAGTGCAGCGTGGGCGCGAACCGCTCGGCAACACAGCGACTCGATGCGAGCGCACAGCAAGTACAGCGCCCCACCTTGCCGCCCACCTCGCTCAGTCCATCCAAACGCAATCACGGGACGACTGAAATTTCGGACCCCAACGACTCGACGGACGGCAGCCGGCGCTGTTCCAAGAATGTAAGTGAGCGCCCCTCACCCTCTATTCATACGCCAGCTAGCCTCTCCAAAAGTGGCTATGTTTCTCGCGCTTCTCGCTGGAGAAGGGTCTCATCAGGCCCCAAAGCTACCCAAGCCTCCCGTAGGTTGCGCAGAGTCGCGAGCGCGGCACCTACCCTTTTAAGGCCCCACAGCACATCCATGCCTGCTGGTCACCCTCTAGACCTTGACTTTCACGCTTCAACATCTCGTGGGCAACCAGCAACTCACCATGCGATTCGCTTGACTGGCAGCAGCGGGTCGTCTGCCAGCCCTATCATGTCTAATTAGAATGGGCGCATTTTCAAGCCGCACTATGCCCGAGCTCCCGACGTATGCCATCTGCTTTTACTGGCGCCAAATCGACTCCTGCCCGCCATTATCCAGACAGCGCCACGTGTCCGAGGCTGACCGCCCACGAAACACCACTTTCTCTTTGTATCCGCAAGCACACTGTCTATCCTCATCAACATCGCAAGTCCATCAGCTCCCTCGACTCTCCATCGATTCTCGATCCACTCGTGGTCGCTGGCGAAGCTCCATTCCTCATTGTCACCGAATCATCAGCACCTTCGCCACCGCAAACGCACAATCATCTGCAGGCTACTCGACATCACCGCTCAACAATCTCACATCATCATTCTCACCTCATCATCATCATCAGCACCGTCGCCAGCACTCCCTCAAGTCTATTCGATTATCAGAATAAGATCAGAATCACATTTGCCCGTCTTGACACTCCGTAAGAGCGAATCTGCTCCTCGAAACGAAAGCACCCTTCTTCATCATCTCGCCTCATGACGATCATCTGCTTGCAGTCCGTGACCTGTCATGCGTTGTAAGAGCGCTCCCCGGCTCATGTCCTTTCGCTCGACCATTGCCTCGAATACCGACTCAAGTGAGCCTTTCTGAAGCAGTCTGAGTGCCTGCAATGCACTGCATGAGCCATGCGTTGTCTTTCGATTTGGCAAAAGGATGTACGCGCCCCCACAAAATGGTCAACACCTTCCTAACGTCTGCTCAAGTTGGAGGAGTGTTGAAGTTGGCTGAGCCTTCGTTCGGATCGTGATCGAGTGATTGTGACCAACCGCTGCGCGTAGCTGGCTGACCCGGCGCCTGCTCGCTGAATAATCACCTTTCCGGCACTCGGGACAACGACGTGCCGAAAGCGACTCGAAGTGCAGCAGCAGCAGCAGCAGCAGCAGCAGCAGCAGCAGGCTGCGCGCAGCTGAGCGTGCTTATCAATCATTATCCGCACACGCGCACCCCGAGGGTCCTTGATGCGACGATTAGGCCGTGAGTGCGACTTTTGACTGGAGTGGAGCATTCGTTATGAGAAGTGAGCTTCCATGCTGAGAAAAAAGAGGGGGGGGGGGGGGGGGGGGGGGGGGGGGGGGGGGGGGGGGGGGAGTGACGTTGCGTATGCGCATGCTCTCTGCGGAAGACGGATTGGGGAGCGGGCACAGCGAATCAGCAGCCGCAGAAGAGCAGCAAGCAGCAGCAGCATGCGAAGCGATGCGAATGCTGCTGCTGGTGGTGAACGCGCAAACAAATACGCCACACGCTGCTGCTGCTGCTGCACCCGCGCATACGTATACTGAGCTCATCAGCAGGGGTCCAGAACCCGAACCGGACCGAGTTGACCGTCGTTGCCGAACAGGTCTGGAGATGTTCGAAGGGCGCGGCGCGTGCTTGCGTCAATCTCTGTAAAAGACTCATCAGTCACCATGCAGTGACTTGATGCCAGCGGCGCATGGACATCTGGGATTCGTCACTCCATCTGCTCTTCATCATCCACCTTCCTTCTATCTCTGTTCTGCATCACAGATTCTCTCCAAGCTCGTGACTCCATATCTGAGCCGCACAAGACACGCGTAACCCAACTGCATCCCGTTGAAGCTATATTCCTTGCCTTGCCCTGCTTTGCCAGAGCTTCTCTGATCCGTGCTTCCCGTTGCTCTCAAAGCTTGAACCAAGCTTTCGCCAAAATGGCGCCTGGACCATTCATTCAGATCCCAAGCGATCTCAAGCCGGCCGGCTTGAATGGCCCAGAGCAGCTCGCGATCGAGCGCAGAAAGGCGGTGAGTGCATTAGCAAGGGGGTCGTCTCGGTGGCGCGCGGAGCATCTGAGCTGAGCCTGTCTCCATCTCTCCTTCTTGCCCCACCTGTCGCAGTCCTTTGATGTGGGTCAAATGACGGAGTACCTGTATGGCAAAGAGTATCTGGAACGTCAAGCGCAGCTCGTCGAGCTCTTGTCGAAAGACCCTGCCCTTGACAAGAGCGGCCTCAACTACATGGGCAGAGTGGAAAAGTTTAGAGCTGCGCTCAAGAAGGACAAGCGACTGGCTGTGCTTGCCAGAGAGCACAACTGGGACTCGAACACCATCGCACACGCCGAGAAGCTGTGCGACTTGCCAGGTGAGTAGAGCGCAGCGGAATGGCTGTGGGCCGTCAGGCTCTTTGATAATGGCGCTGAGCTTTCGTGGCCCATCATCCCAGGTCCTTTTGGTTTGCACAAGAGCGTGAGTACGCACAGTGGCTGCAGTGGTGAAAGTGCTCGGCTGCTTAGCTCATCGCGCCTATGCTTTTCTTCTTGCAGATGTTCTTGACGACTCTTGAGAGAATGGGCACGCCAGAGCAGCAGGAAGCCTTTTTGGAGCCTGCAAGGCGTTTCGACATTATTGGTTGCTATGCGCAGACGGAGCTGGGTCATGGAAGCAATGTGCAGTTCCTCGAGACTACTGCGACGTACGACGAAGAAGCGAAGGAGTACGAGATCCACTCGCCATCGCTGACCGCGAGCAAGTGGTGGATTGGAGGTTTGGGACGATCGGCGACGCACGCAATCGTCATGGCTCAGCTCGTTCTCAAAGGCAAGTCTTATGGACCCCATCCTTTTGTGGTTCCCATCAGAGATCCCAAGACTAGAGAGATGCTTCCCGGCTGCACGATTGGCGACATCGGACCCAAGCAAGGCTACCAGACTACGGACAATGGATTCTTGCTGCTTGATCACGTTCGCGTACCTCACTTCAATCAGCTCGCCAAATTTGCCAAGGTGGACCTGGATACTGCTGTCTACGTACCTCCTCAGAATGCGGCGCTCACCTATGGTACGCTTACTTGGGTGCGTCGGACGTTCCATCAGCTCGTGTTGCGAATTCCACGTTCGCTGACTTGCTTTTTCGATATGGTTTGCAGGTCCGGGCAAATATCGTGCAAGACGCCAGGACGATTTTGATGCGATCAGCGACTGTGGCTATGTGAGCCCGCACCGACGTGCTCGCTTGTCGTCTGCTCGATCATAATTGACCACAACTGTTTGTTGGCCTGCACAGTCGCTACTGCAGCATTCGACGCCAATTCGCAGATAGGGATGCCCCAGTCTTTTCTGCATCGGGCAAGAAGGTCGAGAGTCAGGTGCTCGACTACACAATGGTTCAAGCACGAATCTTCCCTGTTCTCGCCAAAGGTAAGTGGAATGTCCTTAGGAAAGGGTCACGACTGGCAGCCCGCTGACTGGCAGCACTCTTCCCATTGTTTTTAGCATTTGCCTTCCACTACACTGCTCTCTACATGTTCCAGCTATATCAAGAAAATGTGTCGCTCATCGACAACAAGGATCTGTCGCTGTTGGCCGAGACTCATGCCTCGTCATCTGGACTCAAGGCGCTCACCACCATCGAAGCTGCAGAGGCTATCGAGACATGCCGCAGAGCCTGTGGAGGACACGGGTTCTCGCTCGCGAGCGGACTGTCGTCGTTGTACAACGACTACTTGCCCAACGTGACATGGGAAGGCGACAGCTACATGCTTTCGCAACAGACGAGTCGGTACTTGCTCAAGACCATGCGCTCACTATACAAGGATCTCGAGGGACCGCCAAAGTCGTTCACTGTGGACTACATGCGCTCTTATCTGCGCGACCCCAACGCGAAGGCGACAATCGAGTTCAGCGGAGACCTGATGGACCCCATCTTCTTCATCAAGGCGTTCGGGCACCGAGCAGCTTGGCTCGTCAAAGAGACGCTTGAGCTGCGCGACGGGCCGGCGAAGAGGTCCTGGAACAGCCTGTTGATCGAGCTTTACAAGTGCAGCAAGGCTCATTCGCAGGCCTTGATCGTGTACAACTTCAGTATGGCCATCTTGAAGGACGAAGCGCTAAACAGTCGGCCAGCTCTTCGGACGGTGATGCAGCACCTCTTGCTCTTGTATTGCGCCCACACGATGCACGAGGAAGGCGCAGAGTTTATGAGCTCGGGATACATCACGCCCAAACAGTACAGTTTGTTGTCCGCCAAGATTCAAGAGGCTATGCACTCCATCAGACCTCAGGCGGTGTCGCTCGTAGACAGCTTTGCTATTCCTGATTGGCTCCTCAACAGCGATCTGGGTTCGTCCAAGGGAGACGTGTACGAGGTGAGTACAAGGACAGTGTGCTGATTGCGCTCGACTCCCTGCTTTCGCAAATGCTCAGACGACTTTCTTTTCTTGTCTCCCCTCGATAGCGCCTCTTTGAACATGCCGTGCGCGACCCCTTGAACTCGACAAAGTGGAACGTCGACATTGACAGCGACGTCCTTGATATGGACGGCACGCTGCCTCAGAGCAAGCTTTGAGTCTTTGCAGTGGAATATCCGAAATTTAAGGAGACGTGTCCGATTGGAGTCGTCTAGGAATGCGCTCCGCAGTGACGGCGTCTCTTGTAATCCACGACATAGAACAGAAATGGCATTCACCGGTACTCCATCTTTGCGCAATGGCACCTTTTGCCATCTAGAGGTATCTCATGACAAATTTTCTTCGCGCGCCGTGTCGTCAGTGAGGTAGCGACAGTCGGATGTTCATTCGAGTGTTCAATTGCGAACCATTTTGCCAAACAGATTTCTCTCGCTGTGTTCAATTGCGAACCATTTGATCAAACAGAGATCTCGCTGTCAAGATGATGGAGGCTTGGTCAATGCCTCCATTTCAGGGATTCTGTGCTGCAGGTGGATGGTAGGTTGCCGAAGGCGAGTCAGGGCGTGCAGCTGGCGTCATGCACATTCGAGAGCTTGAGCAATCTGGCCTGGCTTGCACCAGACCAGATATCAATCCTTCGAGCGGGACAGGGCGACTTGGACTCGAGTTCTGGGCTAGCTTGCTTTCGTGCGAATGCTTGTATTGCAATTTATTGGAAGGCAGCCAAAAGATCGCCCAAGCTCTGGGTGAGATAGTCCGGCACGACCTCTGCACCATCCGCATCTATCTCTGCTTTTGTGCTGATTCCGGTGAGAACCAACAAGCTCTTGATTCCACCTTTGTTGGCGAAGGCGATATCCGTGTCCAGCCTATCGCCCACGAACAGCGCTCTGGATTTGTCAAAGGGTTTGACGGCTTCTATGCAATCCAACATGTGCTGATGAGGTTTCCCAATGATTGTTGGCGTTCGTTTGGAGCTGAAGACGAGAGGCGCAGAGAGCGATCCTGCTCCTGGCCATGGACCTCCTTTGGCTGGGAATGTCGAATCGTCGTTGGTGAGGATGAAGTGACATGCTCCACCCGATTCGCCCGCTTGCGGAGAACCGGAAGTGGCTCCGGCTCGAGTAATGTGCTTGTACGCTTTGGCAAGCTTGATGTAGGACATGTGCATGTCGAATCCGCACAGCACCGCTCCTACTTTGCCGTCTATGACCTCGGGTTGAAGCAGACTTGTAAAGTCAAGAGTTGGAAGAAAGACATTGTCTTCTGGAGACTGCGATGTGCACCAAAAGAGAGGATCGGGAACGTTGGCGGAGACGCTGGATGTGCTTGCAGTGATGTTGCCCTTGTTCGGAACGAGTCATGCACTCACCGTTCCTCCGCACCACTTCAGCCCGACATCCTCCAACTCTTCTTGAATGCCCTCCATGCCCAGCACATATACTTTTCGATCTTCTGGCAGCTTCAGCACGTGCTTGAGGTAGACCGCAGACGCGTACGCCGAAGAGAAGATCTCCGACTGGAAGCGAGTCAAGCAAGGCTCGTGAGTCGAATCTTTCACCACGGCGATTTTTCGCTAGCTAGCATACATGGACTGGTCACCCACTTCCCTCGCCCAACTGCACACTCACTACATCGGCCTGAATGCCCAGACTTTGAAACTTCTTCAAGTAAGCTCTGCGGCTCTTTGTGGCATTGTTGGTCACAAAGATGATGCTCTTTCCGCTTGCTCTTAGACGCTGCAACACTTCTTTGGCACCCGCGATCACCTCGTCGCCGGACCATAGCACTCCATCGCAGTCGAAGAGGTAGGTATCGTAGGAGGATATAAGCGATGCGTGATCCGACGAGGTGGAGAGGTGCTTGTAGGACATGATGGTCTGAGATGAGCAATGTGAATCAGAATGTGAATCGCGAATAGACCCGGCGAGGTGGAGTTGCTTCACGATTGACCGGACGGCGGGGCGGATTGGAGAGTGCGACACCTGTGGGCCAGCACTCGCAATTTGTCAAGAGGAGCGTCTCACCGCGCTGACTTTCAAGACGGACGCGATTCACGATTGTTGAAGACAGATGAAGGTGAGAGCGAGCATCACGGCATGCGAATCATGTGATATACATGTATGAAATTGAAAGTAATCCAAGCGGATCACTCAAACTCAAACTCGACCGTGCATGGGATGATTAATCGGCCATCACGTGCTTGCCTGCCGCCCATTTTTTGATTGCGAAAGGTTAAGTGAACATCGTGAATCACGAATCATGTGGTGAATGTAGAATCTGGATGCACTTTGAGGCACGCCTCTTGCATCCCTTTGCACAGCATCCTCGGCATTCGTATTCGCATTCGCATTCACGTTTCGCATTCACATTCACAAATTTCCTGTGCTTTTCGCGATCAGCACAAGAATCACGCACAAGAGTCACATTTTGAGTGCCTCGCCTGCAAGTCGCAACACCGACAGAGGGACTGTCAAGACGGATGGAAATTGAGCTCTTGCTCAGCAACCTGGGCGCATAGCGCCGCTTCGACACGGGTCGCCTTGACCGACCATCGGCACCTTACCTACTGGCGCGCATCTGCATTCCAACGTCACCCAGAACTGCGTGGCAGAGCGTTGCTTGTCTGACTCCCACGGCTGGCACACATCCAGCTGAGGCCCTTGGCACCCATCGACCAATGATCACTAGCAGCTGATCCATGCTGTAGCACTCCTCCCGGTAGGCTCGGTATGTCCAACAAGCGAAAGCTGGAGCTCGCTTTGGATCAAGGGGCGGGAGAGCACCAGCGCGCGCATCGACAGGCTGCCGCTCGATCTGGAGATGCGAACGAGGATCAGGCGCGAGCATCGGCCAGGATGCACAAAGCAAAGAAGGCGAGATTTGAGACGGCAAATGTGAATGTTGGCAAGGCTGGGAAAGTTAATGGCAAGGCTGGCAATGACAATGATAATGGCAATAGCGAATCGACCCAAGCGAAAGCGAAGCCTTCGAAGCTGCAGCCGTCAAAAGCTTTCACCAAGCCCCAGCCACGCTCGAAACCCTCACATCATCTCTCTCAAGCCGGTTCTTCCAGATCCTTCAGCGACGCCTTGCCCAGCTCTCTGGAACTCAATCAACATCTCGAATCTCACGCTGCCCAGATCCGCACCATCTCGGTCCAGCTTCAGACTGGTCGAGGGTCTTCCGCTACTCGAGCTTGGCAAATGCTGCCTCGCGCAGAGAGGAGAAGAGCAGCTTCTCATAATCTTTTGGCCTTGCCCAAGAGGCTGAGGGGTAAAGGAGCGAGCGAGTTGAAGAGCTCTAACACGAACGCTACGACGAGGAAAGAAGTGAGGAAGAGAAAGGGAATGAGCGGAAGTGCGGGTGGATATCCTCGAGTGAAGGAGAGGAGAAGAAGAGAACGATTGAGGGAAAGAGCAGGGGACGAGGCTGAGGCTGCTACGTCATCGGCAGCTGGGTTGGGAGGTGAGATCAAAGGCAAAGGCAGATGGTTGGAGACGCACCTTTGGCATGCCAAACGATTTCGGATGACGGGCGTGGAAGACAAGGTGGTCCGCAATCCTCAAGCAGCCCACGATCCAAGAGGAGTAGAATACAGTGGTGTCTCGAGCGTCACAAGGAGCAGGTGGGGCTACAATTTGGCCGAACAGCCGAGCAGCAAAGGCTTCAAAGCTGCCATCAAGGCTTGTAAAGATGGAGTAGCGGTGCACGATGCCAGCTATTGGCAAAGCGTACGCGTGGGCTATCGTTTACGAGGACGCTTCGTCTCGCAAGGAAAAGAAGCGAGGAAGAAGCTTGCGCAATTGCTTCGTGAAAGCGGACTGGATCTCGAGTCAGACGAGCTGGATGCAAGAGCGACCTTTGCTACTCTTACGGAACAGAAAAAGCAGTACGTCGCCCCTGTCACTTTGCTGTGGGTGCAGCCAACGGGCTCGAGGGGTGTTGCAGACGACGCAGATGCACTCTCGTTGTCATTGCCCCCCCTTGGGCAAGCCTCGGGTGAAATTTCGGAAAGCGAAGCGATGCAGGTGGATGACCAGCCGCCAGACCTTCCGAATGCACCAAAGCTAGCTGCAAGCGAGGCGCACACCGCTGAGGCAGAGGTCATCTTGCTAGTTCATCCTGCCGGACTGGCCTCTTTACGCACAGCGCTCACGAGCTCCATCACTTTACAGCGGAGACGAATTCGTTTAGAGAGGCAAAGGAGGAGACGAGCACCCACGACGTCGTCGGCTGTTGCGCCTTCTTCGTCCGACTGTCTGGCCGAGCTACCTGAAGTGAAAGAGGAGGAGCACGTGTATATGCAGCTTCTCAGGCCCGCTTCTCCTGCCCTTTGTGCCAAGTCGGACAGCAAGGGAAGAAAACACGGCAAATTGAGTCAATTCAAGCTGGACCAACGGCTGAGGAAAATGGCATCCATCTCTGCACAGAGAGACGAGCAGGAGGGACAGAAAAGGCGAATGGAGGGATACAATGTGTTCCAGCTATCTGGTCCCCGATCCGGGAGACTGTTGGGAAGCATGCTGAAGCCCGTAGCGCGCACAAGCCCGGACAAAAAGCACGCGCTCAAGCTCATCTGCTCGGTGTTGAAACCCGATCAGATCCGAAGAGGTACAATGCTGGGATTACAGGTGCATGATCCAAGATTGTGCAACCCTAGCACCGTGAAGAAGGAGGTTTTGGATCGTAGAAAGATGCAGCAGGTGGCGGGAGCACTCGAGGCGATTTGGGACAGACCAATAGGAAAAGGGAAGGAGAGAGAGGACGATGAGGATCAGCGGAGATGTGCTTCGGTCAGCGCGACATTGGCCCAGACAGATCTGCTTAGTCAGGGAAGCGAGATGCCAAGAATTTCCAAAGGAGAAGTGGACTCGCTCAAAGCTCGCGTGAGTGCTGCGGCGTGTCGGCATTGCGCTTTGCGCGTACATGAAGTGGAAATTGAGTTGAATCGGCATGTTGTCTCGACTCAGAATCTCATACCGGGCACCCCGCTCACTGCATCATCGACGACTCAAATCGTCTCTATTGCGATCATAGCGCATCGAGATCCTGTGCCTGGCTACACCCTCTTGGTTCCTCGGGGCTGGGGCCGAGCCTTCTTCCACTCGCTGGTCCATTCCAAACCAGCCGTGCTGTGTCTCTCCTCCCTCGCCTCCCTCTCCTCTCAATTCGCCAAACCCGTCTTTCCCTTTGATCATCCGGGATGCGATGCGTACAACGTATGGGAGAAGCAAGAGGTGGGAAGAGAGAAGGCAAAGTGGTGCAGGACACCGATGGCCAAGAGAGTCAATTGGGAGAGTGTGGGGACTAGATTTGCCTGGGGAGGAGAAGGCCTTTGGAAAGCTTGTGTGCAAGAGAGCTGGAACAGAATAGCGCTCACGCCTCGGAAGAAGGACGAAGAGATCCAAGTTCACCTTCTGCCACCCGGCAAGGCTTTACAACGCACGGAGCGCTACGGAAAGCACGATGCCTCTTTGAGACATGTCAGCATAAGTGCGATCAGGAGAGGTCATTTCGGACCTTTCACAGAAATACACATGCTCACACTTGAAGAGCAGAAAGTTTGGCGAAGGGCTCTGCTGGAAGCGCCCAAGGATGCGCAGCTAGATGTTGAGGATGAAGATGCCGCAGAGCCCGTCGTAGATCCGCGTATGTCGAAGCGTGGCGCTAGCAAAGATCAGAGTGCTCTGAGACAGGTGAGCAGAAATGCTGTGGGCGACATGTGTCGCGAAAGGGTAGCGCGGACACCCTCGCATGTCACGACGAGTTCTGCAAAGCCAAATCTCATCATGCCCATCTCTCCCTCATTTTGTGTCTAATCAGCTCGAACAATCTCACCGAGATGCATCAAATTCCCTCATGGGCGCTACGACTTCGGGCACATTCTCCTTGGCAGAGGGCAAAGCTTGTGCTGTTGGCGTTATAGCGAGCGTTGCGGTGCGCGAGCTGCAAGAGAGAGCTGCGGCTTTGCGGGCAGAGGAAGAAGAGAAGCAGGTGGATGCAGTTCAACAAGCCACAGAGGACGAAGAGCCCTTGATGGGGATGGAAGGGGCAGATGCCTCAGTCGAGGGTGAAGCGGGCAAGATCCAAATCAGGCCATGTGCAAAGTCTAACGGCGCAGCCTACCTCGTCCTCACAAAGGAGAGGCAAAGCTCGGCGTGGAGGGCCGCGGAGCTTAGACTGCTGTGAAGTTGAATTAGCGCGAAGCTCGTAGCATCCGCCAATCAAGCATCAGCACGAAGGCACGCGGCCGATCGCAAGTATCGTACAAAAGCCGAGTAGGCCACCCAAGACAACTTGATGTGTATAAATTTGCAGAGTAATGTAGCATGTGCGGCGATTACCCCAGCTATGAGATACCTGGCTGATCTTATGACTCACCCGCGGAAGTAGGAGCTTGCAAGGACGGATCCCGGGTGGGCGTTTCCGTGGCGAGATCATCAGCAGTGACACTGGCAGGCTTAGCATAAGCCTGCTTGTGCACTCTAAACGGGCTCTCAGGCTTCCAAATATCGAAGCGATCCTCAGCTTCCTGTAGCGCCGTATCTCTCGCTCCCAATCGCGCCAAGGCTCGCATGTTGATCTGGTCCGACGTCGCTTCTTTCCAAAAGATGCTTGTGGGTGCGGCATCGGGCATGCCCTTGCCGTTGCTAGGCGTGCTTGTGGACGAAGATGCGTGAGAGTCCTTGGCTTGAGAAGCTTCGGGCCCACTTCGACTCTGCCCGGGAGCAGCAGGCAGACCAATGCCCTTGCTACGCTCCTCCAGGAACCTCTTGAGCGCATCAGGATTAGAAGCGAGGGTCTGCAGCAGCTCTTCGTCTCGATCATCGAGCGCTCGAGCATTTGGTAGGCTCAGATTGGCAAAGGCTTGCTGTCGAGCTCTTACATCTTCCAGATTGCGCCGGATGGTCGCTTCGCTAAGATGAGGCTGAGGATTGATCGACCACTCGACTTGCCCTGCATTTGGTGGAACGATGGAGGCAAGATTTGCATCAGCTTGGCAATGCGGTGATGTCTGCATGAAAACGGCATCTCCTACTCACAGTCGACGGGTTTCAAAGCATCTCGAGCTCTCTTCAAGATCTCGTTCTCTGATCGTACATCGACGCTCCTTCCAGGCAATTTTGAAAAGTCCACAGGTCCGCGCACAAGATTGCCATCCAGATACCTATCCATGAGCACTTCGAGCTGGGCGATGGTTCTGGGCCCCTTTTTCAACTCCTTCTGGATCGCACTCGTTGTGTCGATAGCCTCACTCAAGACGGCGAATGCTTCGTCATCCGGATCGCTCTCGGAGTTCTGACTTTCGCGAGCTTGCGCAGCTTTGAGACTACCCGCGTCGAAGTCCGGCTCCACAAAGACTTGCAAAGCATCCTGAAGATGAGGATGAGCTTCTAGCGTCATTTTCACACCTTGTCCCGGAAAGAGCGCAGTAGCAGCATCCAAAATCTCTTCGAGCATGGCCAAGGAAAGTCGGAAACTCTGCTCTGCCATTTCCATACTCCCAAAGATTCTCGTTGCCATCTCCTCGAGCGGGATGTACTGAAACCCAAAGATTGCGAGGGTGCTGTGGTGCGCGACAAAGATGCCGTCCATATGACCTATCCTGGCTTGGAAAAAGTACTTGAGGAAAGCGGATCGTACCATGTCGTGCAGCTCTCGTTCAAAGCTCTCGTATGCGCCATTGAGCTTGCGTAACCGGTAGCCGCCGCTCTCCACCCAGTTGGCCCTATCCAAACGCACAGCGTGCACCGCTCTCGTCTTCAAGTCGAACGTTTGACGAGGAAGACGCGGGTCCATGCAGTCCAATTGACTTCGCATGACGATGCCTCCGCTCCTAGCATAATGATACGATTCCGGTCTGTTCCTCTCCTGGGGCGACAACTTGTCGCTGTTGATGCGCAGGTGCTTTTCGTAGACATCGGGCGGTGAAGTGAGGAGCTTCTCGAGACTCTTGCCCAGCTGAGTCAGCACGTAGTTGCTATCCTCTGGTTCCCCGCTCGATTCCTTGTCTTGGTCGATTGCGAAACATGGCCTCCCATCTTCACTTTTGCCCTGAAGCTTCTTCAATCTGATACTGGCAGGCATGCGCGTTGCAAAGGTCCAGCCCGTACCTTTCAGACCTTCGCTGAAGCCCGTCAAGTCAGGTTGCCTGTTACCAGACAGATGGAAGTAGATCTGTGACATGGCCGTTGTCATGCTGCTTGTGCTTCCACAATACTTGGCTCTCTCCCTCCGCGTAATCTTGCGCAGCTCGGGATCGACGGAGGAGGTGAGGTAAGGCGTCAGACTGTCGTAGTCGAACAAGTCGACATCCGGAATGTGCCGCAAATACGGATCGAAGTTGTACGTGCCAGATCTCGGATCTTTCAGCCAATGGACGCCCGGGCTGGTGGAGAGAGTCGCGCAGAACGAAGTTCAGCATGGCTGCTCGAGAACCGCATGACTGCAGTCGAGAGATGACGACGGCTGTTGCCGCACTTACTTGAACAGTACGCGAGAAAGGTTATGAGCCAGCCTGGGTGTGTGCATCTCTCGCAGCGGCTTGACTTCTGCGGTTGTCGCAAAAACGGCCATTAGCAAAGCATACGATACGGTGCATGCTCTGCACAACCATCTTCCGAAAGCGCACTCACTTTCGACCGGTCTCTCCATCGCGCTCATCTTTCCTCCCACGGTCTCCTGCCAATGATCTTTAGCCTTGTCCGGCCCGACCCATCCGCCCTTTCTATCCCTGCCATTCTCCTCTGCGCTCCAAACTATTCTTTCCTCCTCTGTCAAATGTCCAGGCGCAACCAATTGACAAGAGGCGTACTCTTTTGGTGCTAGTGTCCTTCTGGCTGGTGCGCGCGGCAGTTGGTGTGGAGCGAGCCCGGAGGCTCTGCTCGCCCTGCTCAAATTTGACGTGTAAGACGACCCTGGGTACTGGGCTGCGTATGGAGGAGGCGATTTTGAGCCCGACGAAGGAGCATTGCTGCCAGCTGGTAATCCAGAAGGAGAGCTTGGCGTTAGAGAATCTTGAAACCACAGATCCTCGGCTGAGGTGATGTGTGATTTGGAAGATGAAGGTGAGGCTTTGAGCGGAACAAAGTGATCTTCAAATGACGAAGCTGGCGCATCACGTTTCACGCTTGCTCTGGAACGAGGAGCTACAGGTCTTGAAAGACTTGCACGTCTCGCCGCTAATTTGGCCTTCCGACTGTTGACCTTGGAAGAAGTGCTCTTTGGCTGACTGCCGTTGTGCCCCTGCATCTGAGACAGTCTAGATGACGAAAATCCTTGCAGCGGTAGCACCTGACGGTTCAGCCTGACCATAGGCGCCGCAGCCTTCGGTGAGCCCGCCAGTGAGCGGCTTGCCGAGCGCGAAAAGTGCCGAGAGCATATATGTGCTGCGGAGGCAGATGCGCCCAGGTCGTTTCGTGAATGCTCGCAGATATGATCGCTCCTCGCGAGCACGACGATGTGTCCAGTGCTCTGCAGCGCCAATCGAGGTCTCTGAGAAGTTTGCACGAGCAGCGCTCGCGCTGCTGGTGACATGCTCGCCACCATCCTGCCTCGGGCCAGAAGGGGGGCCAGCTCTAATGTGTCCACTGTTGTGGTGAATGTCTTCTTAAGAGCGGAGCGATTGGGTACCGAATCTTGAGCGCCAGCGACCTTATGTACAATTGCAGTGGTACATTGGTGGACAGTAGTGGAATGACTTGGAGTACGCTTGAGCGACGAGAGTGTGAAACAATGGACAGAGGAACGTACTCGGCGTCTCTCGAGCGAAAAGGCAAAATGGAAGACCCATGGCAGCATCGAGGCTTCGGAACAAAGTCGAGCAGGAATGCTGCTGCAGCAAGGCTCCAAGAATTTGATAATTTTGATTTTGGACGCGTGTGTCAGCCTAGGTCACGTGTCCGACGACTGGTCGTATGACTCAAGATTTGCTGCCTGTCTCATCAGTCGACGCGAAAAGCAGGCCCGCAGAAATGTCAAAATGCAAGATCAAGATGGGGGCAACATCAGCCCTATATGGAGTCAAAGCATAGGGCAGTCATGGATCGTACATAGGCCACTATGAGGGAAGAGCGACACCAGCAAAGCCATGCGGGGGCTTGGCGACGTTTCTCACACAACAGCTCCCGCTCAAACGGCCGACGCAAATTCTCCAAAAAGCGATGGATTCCGTGAGACCATTGTATGGTGAGAATACGTCCCGGTCATTCCTCTTCTTCGGGTTCCTCTTCCTCATTTACATCGCTCAGACCCTCTTCTTCCACCTCTCCCTCCGCATCATCGTCTTGGTCATCATCTTCCTCGTCCTCTTCACCGTCCCAATCCGGCTCCCAGTCCGGGTCATCCTCGTCATCCACGTCGGCCCCTTCATCTTCGCTCACATTCCTCCCTCCTGGAGATGTGGCTTGACGCGCACGATTGGGCACTATACGATCACCGTGCACGGGGGCAGCAGCTTGCGGACCTGCAAAAGATCTGAAAGTGGCAGCAGGACTGTTCAGGCCCAACGACTGGCCAAAAGAACCGCCGGGCGTCAAAGCGGAAGTGGTAACTTGAGGACTGCTGCGGCCAAAGACATTCGGTGAAGTCGTCGCGAACGGAGTTAGGGACTTGCTGCTGGCCTCTGGCGACACATTTGTGCGACCTAGATTGCCAAAGAAGCTCGAGACTGCGGCAGCGCCCGACGATGCTCGGGTTTCCGGTTTGCTGCTATTGTATCCAGGTGGAGGCGCGAAGCTGAATGCGGAATGCGTCGTGGAGGACGCTTGCGATACCGGAGCGAAAAGATTGTCTCCAGTCAACGACGCCGGGAGTTGCACAGCGGCATTAGTGCGAGTCTTTGATTTGGCGTGCCCTGGGCGGAGATGGCTTCCTGGCGACTCTGATCGAGAGCCTGGAGCAAAAGGGGCGGATTCTGGAGGCAAGGAGAAGAAATCTTTGGATTGTCCTTCACCCCACAGACGAGGAGCCATCTCACGATGGGCGCTCGGCGCGTGCGCTTGGTCTTGAGTGCTCTGATGAGCTTCGCCTGCATGGCGCTTGCCGGGTGCCGTGATCTGGGCCGGTCCTCTGGCTAAGGAGATGTCGAGATCTGCCAAGCTGAACTCCCTTTCATGAGAAGAGGGCGGCGTTTGAAGATCAATGGCCGCGGACGGCACAATATTCAGAAGAGGCTTGGGTCTTGCACGCGCGAAAGCGTTCCGCAACGAAGCGGATCTTCGCTGTTGACTAATGGCCTCTCGCGCGGTTGCTTCGGCTGACGCGGCCGCGTAGGACTTTGTGAATGCGTCCGGGAGTATGTGTTCCAAGTCGCCGCGCATCGATGCGAACGACCCCTCTCCTGAGACATGGACGCTGCGCATCGTCATAGAGAGTGCTGAGGCTTCCGGCGACCTGTCGTATCGATCGAAAATTTCAGCACTCCTGGCCCCCCGACTAAGCTCAAGCTCTGTCTCGAGCTGATCCAGCTCCAGAATTCGTGCGGTCACCGCGGCCGAGAGATTTGTGATGCTCCTACGAATGCTCTCCAGGGACGGTGTTTGGAGAGGATGCCCAGATCCGGATCGCTCCTGGTGGACCTCTCTTTTCAGAGACTCGATAACCTCAGCCAGCTCTTGAACGCGTGTGCGAACGGAATGAATTCCCGCCCGAATCTTATCTTGATTTTGCACGTGCTCAGGCCCAAGCTCTCGCACTCGCAGCAGCCGAGCGTATCCAGCATCCGAGCGCGCTCTGATGAATCGAGATGCCTCTTCTCTCTTCGCCTCTGCCTTGAGCGCTATACTCTGCAGTTCCATCACTCTTCTTTTCCTGCCCTCGCTCTGATCTTCGTACGCCTTGACGTCCTTCTCCAAATTTCTCATGGCGTCGAAGCAAAATGGTAGGTCGCCGAAGGTCCAATGCGGCTTCTCGGCGCCAGAGTGCTCCTCGTCCCAGGGCTGCCTCAGACCCGCTTGGAACGTCGCACATGCTTCGGCTTTACTTCGCAGATATTTGAGCTCCTCCTCGATTGTAAGGTAGAGCCGCAGGCACTCGCCAGCGATGCCAGACTCCTTGATGTCACCGATGGGTGGTGCTGAGAGGGAGCTGCCTAGAAAAGGCGGATGCCTATCCTCATATGCGCTCGTCACTGCACCTCGTGCTGCGTGTCCAATTGGCTTCTGTGATTGTAAAGAAGGTAGTGGCAGCTGAGATGGCGACGGACGATCTTGTGATTCCGCCTTTTGAAAGCTAAAAGCAGACTGCGTAGCGGTGGGCTCCAATTTGAACTGCGGTGAGAGCTGGGGCGGCTGTGCAGACGATGAGGCGGGCGCGCCCCACAATGGCGTGGGAAGCTGAGCACCGGACGCGCCAAATATTGGCCCAGACCTCTCTTTACCTGGTTGGCCAAACAACGAAGAAGCTTCCTTCGATGCGCCCTGGACAGCGCCTGATCTAGCCGGCGCCCCAAATTGCGGTTGGAGGAGAGGAGGTTGTGCCTGAGATCCACCAAACGTCTTGGCTGCTCCGGCTGCGGGCGACTTCTCAGGTGAACTGAACAGGTCGGATCTATTCACTGGCGCCGCCGCCAGCGGTGAGCTACTTCGTGGAGCTCGAGCATTGAAGGCAGAAGTGAAAGCTCCCTTGCCGAAAGAATTCGACGGTGGTTGTGGCTTCGCTGCTTGACTTTGGGGGGCCACGCCTTTGCTTTCGGCAGGCTCGGGTGCTACGGCCTTACTACCGAAGGCACTTGGGTTTGGTGGCTGTGATGCAGCAGGCTTGCTACCGAAAAGAGTGCCGGCATGCGATGTTGTGTTTGGGGGAGCGGCTGCACTCGAGTCCGTCACACTCGCGGAGGTCTTTGCCGTAGCTGGAACGGTCTGCGAGGTAGGCGCGGAGCCCTGAGTAAAGAATCCTGTGGTTGTCACCGCAGCGTCTGACCTCGACTTGCTGTCAGGAGAGTGCTGGGGAGTGGTAGTCTCTGGTAGAGGCGGCGCAGAAAGGACTGCAGGCACTGATGCGCTGGGCGTTCGCGCGCTTACTCCAACGGGAGACACCGGCTTGGCTGCGGTGAACGCAGCTCCTTTCTCGGCCTTGAGAATGTCTTGTGACTGGTCTGCATTTTGTGACGGTTCTTCATCCGCCTCAGCATCATGGCTGGATTCGGTCACGCCTGACTCATGTGCATCGCCCTCTTCTTTGGCTTCTTCAGCGGGCGAAAGTGTTTGTTCTGATTCGCCTTGCTCTGATATGCCGTCGCCAGCTTGTTCACCAATGGTGTACGGCCGCACCTCGTCTTGTTCCGGCTCCGAGATGGTCTCCAATTGAATTGTCTTGTCGTCGAATGGCGAGACAGCAGGACTAGGCGTCGCAGACTCGGAAACGTCCCGTTTCGGACTGTGACTAGGTGTCCTTGCTGACGCTGGCGCTGGTGCTCTCCCTTTAGGGGAGGTTTCTGGCGATGAAAGGTGCTCTTGCACACTTCCATGGTCGGTCACGTGAGGTTCTTGAGTAATGACAGACTGCTGCGACTCGTCACTGCTCGGCGCTGCTCGCACCCCAGAGCCCATGGCATACGGGCTACTAGACAGTGTCGCCTCGTGACTCGCTGGAGGTGAGCTTGGGGGCGACGGTGTATGTTTTCGGCGCTCGTCGGCCTCTTGACTGCGAGAAGAGCTGGGCTTCTGATCGTTCAGGAGAGACCCAAATCCACCAAAACCGAACGTGCCTTTGGACTCTTCCGCTTTGCTCGGCTCCGACTTGGCATCGACTGTCGAAGCTGCACTCTGAGGCGCAGAAGCCTTGTCCATCGATCCTCCAGGGCCAGTCCGGAAACCGGTGGTTTGAAAAGCCAGCTTCGCTGCCGACTCTTTCAAGCCAAAGCTCGGTGATCTTTGACCGAAGGCAGGCTTACCACCGCTCTGAAGAGCTCCACCTTCGCCAAAGATGGAAGCAGAAGAATCGGCAGCCTTCGCACCAAATAGCGGCTTTGCGTTCGAGAAAGCTCCGAATCCACCCATCGAAGGTGCGCCACTTCCAGATGAAGATGGAGACGAGGAACCGCCTATCGACGTGAGAGCGTTGGACGCTGCCTTACTTGCAAAGCCACCACCGGAATCAGCGGAAGACGGTTTGCCAAAGGCAGATGTCTGTCCGAATGCAGTGCCACTGGCCGAGGCACCTTTGCCAAAGGCAGAGGATTGTCCGGAGGACGGTTTTCCAAAGGCAGATGTTTGTCCGAATGCAGTGCCACTGGCCGAAGCACCTTTGCCAAAGGCAGAGGATTGTCCAAATGCAGAGGGCTGTCCAAAGCCGCTGCTACCGAAAGCGCTTGTAGATCCAAAGGCTGGAGCAGCTGATGTTTTGACGTCCGCTTGGTTTGCAAACGCGCTAGGAGGACCAGTGGAAACGGACGGTGCGCCAAAAGCTCTTGCAGGCGAAGAAGACGATCCAGTCTCAGAAGACGCAGATGGAGGGCCAAAGGGAGAGGCCGACTTCGAAGGACTTCCGAATGCCGACGTTGTGCTCTTGCCGAAGGCGAACGGCGAAGATGTTGCGCCCTGTCCAAAAGCAGACGGCGCGCCGAATGCTGTAGCTCCAAATGCGGAGGGCGCTGATGTCTTGCCAAAGGCCGAAGGTGCGGTACTGGCTCCGAACGCTGAGGGCGCGGACTGCTGGCCAAAAGCAGAGGCGGTGCCCTGGAAAGTTGGAGCAGGTGCGTTGCCAAATGCGGACGTAGACGCAGAGTCCGCACTGCTTTGTCCGAAAGAGAAAGCATTCTTTGGCTTCTCGTCCTTGGGGCTCGCGCTACTCGGGCTCGGCGAGCCGAAGGAGAAGCCAGTCGATCCAAAGGAAACGCTTGGCTTGCCAAAGGCGCCAATACTGGGCGGTGCTGGCTTAGTCACTGATGCAGCTCCCTCTGAAGGGACCGTCGGCGCAAGCTGATCTGCGGAAAGAGCCTTCGTCTGCTCCTGTGGGCTTTGCGAAGCTTTTGCAGGCGTTGATACGGACGGAGCTTCGCTTGTCAACATTCCTGGGAAGGCCGCTCCTGTGGTGTTGATGACGTGGTAAGCGAGAAGAACGCCATCCGTGGTGTAGACCAACAGTATAGGACAAGGAGGGAGCTTCTTGGTCCCATCCTCGCCCCTAGCAGCCGCGAGAGGATCATCTACGTTCTCCGTTGCGGACAAGTCCACCGCCAAAGCAACTGGAGCTGTGTCACTCTCTTTGTCGACGGAAGAGAAGGGGAGCGTCGGCCTACTTGTCTCTTCCAGCTCGGCGGATTCCCAGCCCTCCGTCTCTGTGTCGAATGCGTCCGCACGAGAAAGCAGTACGCCGACGTCGGTGGATGCAGACGCAGCTAGGAACAGCAAATGCTTGCTTGGAGACCATCCCTTCAGCGAGACTGCGTATCTTTGAGTGCGCCTTGAAGTGTCGCCGAATGAGGGTGCAGGATCCAGCGGGAAGCGCAAGTACTGCAACGAGGACGTCTTGGGGTTCCTCAAAATGGCGTACAGCGTCTCTGAGTGATCTGGCTCGTCGGCTGAGCCAGACGAGATAGTGTTGTACGTAGCCACAAAGACGTTGTTCTCAAGCCAAGAGAGATGAATGATTCCCATGTCCTGCGCCAAGTCTGTTGGAGGTCGGATCCGTTCTTTGATCTCTCCCTCTGGAGTGAGTTGAACAATGCCTCCATCGGCCAGGCCTAGGGCAATCTGTTTTCCTTTCGTGCTCCAGCACGCGCTCAAAATGGCCGATCCAACATTCAGCGGGGCGCCCCATTGTCCGCTCCGCATATCTAAGATGCGTGCTTGACCGTCTGTACCATCCGAAGCGTCTGCTTGCCTCTCGGCGTAAAGAACGACACTTAGCTCTGCGCGCTCTCCAGGGTTGGCGGCCACCTCCAAAAGTCCCAAATTAGCTGCCGGAGGCTGCAGCGTGTGCGTAGCTTGCGACTAGAATGGTTAAGACGCGATCAGCTTGTGGCCCACCCGTAATCTAGGCGCAAGGCCCGCTTCGTCGCAATACATCATCCTTCCTGCGACTCACATTACCATCGAGCGCGTGCTCCAGAGTCCAGATTGCCAGCGCCCCATTCTCCAGTCCAACGAGAATCCTTTCATCATCATCGGCAAATCGGAGGAACGAGACGGCAGCCGGTGTCGGTATTCTCTGGATAGGCTGCGGCTCCACCGTCGTGTTCTTCTTCGATTCGCTAAAGGTTGACCGTAGCGAGCTGAGAGCGTGTATAGCTAGACCTATTGTTAAGGGAGTGACAGTGCAAGTTGTCGGGAGACGTGTAAGACAGGGCTATATCTCATGCCATCACGCTCGCTTGCGTCCCTCCACCCCGATCCAGCCAACGTCAAGCCACGTGGAGCGCTACACTCACCTTGATCAGTGGCAGCAACAAGCAGTCCTCTGCGCGACGATACTGCCAAGAGATTCACTGATGTCCTATTTGCCTTGACATCCAATGGCTTTGATAGCCGTGCCTTGACGCCCAAGCTAAGTTGACGCAGGGTGAGAAACTGCGACGTCCAGGACAAGAAAGGGGCGTGCATCAGCAGTCTAAACGCCGTTGTAGCGCACGTTCATTTACTGCATGTGCGATGCTCGCATTTGAGCTGTCAACTCACCTCGGCTTCATTCTCACCAGCTTCTCCGACAGAGATTGAATAGTCCGGCATCTTGCTCCACACTCCGCCGGTGTTGCGATTCTACTCGGTCTTCGCAAGCCTGCACAGAGGCTTCCTAAAAGAATCCCCAGCTCCACTTTTACCTGCGCATTGAAGAGCGAGATGCAGCAGATGACGGCGGACGATTTGCGTCCGAATGACTGATGAGGAAGAGTGCACGCGATGCTGAGAAGGGAGGACACCTCAGAGAGCGACCGAGGGTGCTTGCTAGCGAGATGTCCTGGCGCAGGCGCGAGCTCAGCTTCCGCTTCAACCCAAGCTCAAGTTGCTGACGACACGAGGATGGAGAGGCCGACATGAGGAGTCAAAGCCTTGAGCGAACGAGTTCGTCGAGAGCAGCAGCAGGTCTGCGTGATGGGAAATCATGAGTGGGTGGGTGCATGCATGGCTGCTCAGCATCCTCGAACGCGTTCGACGTCTCGTACGGAAAGAAGGACGAGACACCGTGCGGGGCGCTCAGGGCCTCCCTTGATGATGCTCGTCAAGAAGGTGTGCGGCGAGGATGCGTGCATGCTCATATTCACACTCACCTTCATTCACCTGCATTTGCGATGCCAGCTTGACCCTGACACTGACTGATTGCCGGCTGCATCTTACCGAAGTTCACATTTGTGATAGTAGTGTCCGCGGCCCGCACGTCACGTTGCAATCATCAGCAAAGCTCCTTCAAGATAAATGTTTACAAGCACCGCTCATACACACGTCAGGCAAATTTGATGATCTTTGCCTGGACACCATTTCTGCAACACTACGACCGCGCGTGCAGCGATAGCTTGCCATGGGCGGTCAGGATGAAGCGGCGTTCGCTCCTCCCATCGCACCGAGCCTCTCCCTCAGCTCGCCTGACCGTTCGGACCAGCAATCGACGGGCGCATCTTCGCTTCCAACAGGTTCCACATCAAGCTCATCAGAGCCCGCTCTAATTTCGCTCCCGGCTTTTCGCATGCTCGCACTCTCCAATCCCGTGCTGGAAGCCTTTTTCGAGCGTGATCTTCCCAGTTCTTTCGCGCTCCTTCCTCCAGCAAAAGGAAGTAGCGGGAAGGATATCTGGTCTCAAGCTGGTAAACGGACATTGCCTGCTACTACATCTTCAGATCCCGTGGATGCACCACATGCCGCTGGCAGTGAATCGTCGAATACTTCCTTGGGCAAGAAAAAGTCGGGATTGTCTGGTGCTGGTGGGATGGCGAGCGGATCGGCCGGATACAGCGTGGCTCCTCGATCGGGCATGCTGGGCTCCCTCTTCTCCACGCTGCTCGGAGAGACCGAAGCTGAAGCTTCTCTCAGAGTCGCTCGTCTCTCAGACACAGTCGCTGGGGCTTTGGAAATTCCCAAGACAGTCAGGGGCCCACTTCCCTCCTTCGCTGCTCGGAAGGGCATGAACCGAACGCTAGATGGGAGAGAGGCAGATACAGATACTCTCAGGGAAGACGAGAAGAGGCGCAAGGCCGACTATGAGGGTGGTCTGCATTCTTCTGAGAAACGCGATGCGTTTGCGCACACCAGGGTGGGTAGTGCAGAGACTTCACAGCAGGATCACGCCGGGCCCCTTCTAGCCAGACCACAACGACCGAAGCCGGACAAGAGACAGTCTCTGCGCGGGACGGACATTATGGGTACAGGCGAAGGTTCGGCGATGCACGCGATCGCAGCAGCCACAGCTTCCTTGCGTCGCACCCCTTCGCACGCCGATATGGGCTTCAGCGTAGATCAGCCAGGTGTGGAAGAGGAAATGGACGATCACGAAGTGGATCATGCCGGTCAGATGTTGAGCGTCGAAGGGTCAACGACTGAAAAGACGAGCGGAATACCTCAAACTCCCGATACGGATAGGGATAGAGACCTTGCCAATAGCCTGAAGCGGCTCAGCACTGCGCACGTTGACGGGCTGAGCTTTGACGTGGCCGAACACAGCGACACGAAGGATCAAAGGTGAAATTTTTCGACGGCTCATTCTGTAAGCATCCAGACGCAACGCGTCGCGACACGATGAGAGAGGATTCTTGGTGCAAGCCCAACCCATCATGCACATGACAGCCGGATGCTGCGCCAGATCACGTTCGTCGCGATCGACGAGAGAGTCTTGGCATAAATCCTGGTCTGCAACGGGTCACGTCGAGCAGCAGCTCATGGCGACCATCCAAAGCGACGACAAAGGATACAGCCAGGTACTCGAAACGACGGTGCAATCGCTTGAAGAGCTTCGCGATGACACACCTTTCACGCGGTAACGCATCAGGCCATCTGTCTGTGTGTAGCGAATCACAGCAGACGCGACGCATATATTTGCGAATCACAAGACGAGTCCTTACAGCAATGATTGGGCAGTACTTCAGAAACATGTATCGTATTAGTACAACAAGATCATATGGGGGTCTGATCAGAAGAGCAACAGATGTAGGTCGATTGTCCACGCAAACCAACCCATGCTCGACGCTGCGCGCGGATCGGACGTGTGAATGGGGTGGATATTCTGCGGTACAGTAGTGGTCCATCACGATCTAGAGAAAGACGTCTGGCAGAACGAGGGTCGGGCTCGTATTGAAGATTCAAGCAGAAAGACCGTAAGCGGGCAGACCTCCGAATCTCTGGTTGAACCTAGCCAATTCGCGCGAGAGCTCTTCAACCAACCTCATGCTCAGCGGTGTGTCTGAACCGGAGCCTGGGAGCGATGATTCGTTTGAGCTTGTGTTTGCTGATGGCTCAGCGTGCGCAGTGGCCGTTGCAGAAGGCTCTGTAGCCGTCGTAAGGCCAGCAGAGCTTCGGAGCTGCTCCTGGGACTCTTGTCCTGCTGCATCTGCTCCGGCTGCATCAGCAAGTGCATCTGACTTTTCCCGAGGTGCGCTGCCCTCCTCTTTAGAAGCATCACCCATGACTTCTTTGCCATTGTTCCTATCCGCCTCAGCTTCTCTTTTTCCTACTTCTGCTAAGAGAGCAGCGTCTCCGGGCAGCGAAATCTTTATGCCCAGCAACCTGGTCCTCCGCGATCTCTCCACGGCCTCCACCTGACTTCTGGTCACGTACTCTCCAATGTTGCGCACTCTCTTGCGCATCTCTCCTAGCGTCATTCGTTTGGGGGGGAATCTGATTTTGGTCCGTGGCTCGTGGAGCGTTTGCGAAGTGTAGGGCATCGGCTCGATAACTGGTGCAGATGAGCCCTCTGCATCATTGCCACTCGCCTCTTTGTTGGCTGCACCGCGGCTTCCGCCAGACCTCGGCACGCCTTTGGTGGCGAGGGGTGGATGCAAGGACAAAGCCTCGGAGCTGTGTCCGCTCAGCAAGTGCGCAAGGTGAAACAGATGCTCAGGCATGCCCAGATTGCCTCCTGGCTTGATCGAGTCCAGGTGAGGTGTTGGTGTGCCGGTTCGACTGATTCCGGACTGATCCCGGAGGGCGGCTCTCCTTGCACCTCCGGCAGCCTGATCGGTAGCGCGCTGCTTGTGAGGGCTTGGCGAAGGAGACTCTGCACCAGACTGTTGCGGCGTAGCCGAGCTGCTGGGCCCTGCACCGCCTGCTGCGTAGACAGCGGCGGCAGATGCAGCGGCCATCGCTCTATCTTTCGCTCGATAGGTGTATTGATTGGGATGCTTGGGCTTGGCTGCGCTCGAGGAGGAGTCCTCAGGCCCACCTTTTTTCGCCGCGCCCTTCTTTCCAGACGATTCTCCCACGGGCGAAGCACCGCGTGCTCGATCTTCGGGCCCAGGGCTGTTGCCACCGCCGACCTTCCGGCGCTTGTGGTCGGCAGCCGGTTCGTCAGCGGGAGAAGGCGACCGTGATGGCGATCTGAGATGACCAGAAGAGAGGAGGATCATCAGCAGCAGTTCGCAGTGGCATCCAGGGACGCAGCACGTATGCAATATCTAGACATGGCCCGATCCAGGTACTTACGCTTCGTTGCGCCCACGCTTGCGCTTGTTGCCTTTGCGGTCGTCCTCGTCCATCTTGTCATTGCCCTGTTCGTCCCACTGTTCATCCTCATTCAGCAAGCCTGGCGGGATGGGCTCCCATCCGTAAGCGCTATCCCTGCTGTTCATTGTGCTTCGCCGCTTCGGGCTCGCTCGGCCTTGTCGATGGGCCAAATCTTCCTCGCGGCTCTGGCTGCGACCGTGTCGCGTTCCTTGGGCATCTGACGATTGTCGACGATGAGCTCCTCCGGTGCTACCAGGGGGGTGCGTTGGTGAAGGAGGGGACAGGCGTCCGCTGTTTGGTGCTAGGGCCGCAAGCGCCGGGTTGTGCGCTACTGACCAGCCTGTCAGTACCTCCTCCCCAGCCTTGCGCCTTCTTTCGTTATCTGCTGCTAACAGCAGAACCGCCTGCTTCGCCTCCTTGAGCTCCCTCTTTGCGTCCTTGGAATTGAGTTTGGAGAGTGCCTTGCTCGCGCCTTTCTTGTGCGACTTGTTCACAGGCAGGACACCGAGAGAGCGAAGCAGCGTAATGTGCAGCTCTGGTCGGCACTGCTCGCAGAAGTAGACGTCAGGACAGTCGTCCTCGGTGTGCAGGCCCATGCATATGCAGTGTTGCCAGCATTTGCACGAGTCGCATTGAATCATCAGCCCGACATTCTCATCTGCAAGAGCGAGGTATACGCGTAAGCCTCAACGCATGCTCACAGATCGCTGCGAAGAGCTGACTCACCAGGGCTACCGCAAACACATCGTGTCTCTCCTTCACCTCCTTCCAGCTCTTCCCCTTGCCAGTCCGGAGGCAGGTGCTCTTCCTTCTGGTCCACAGGCACGCTTTCAGCGCTCGCGGCTAGCTCAGTGCTCTGCAGCTCCCCCACTCTACTCTCTTGCGCAGGCTCACTGCCTTCTTTGACTTCATCCGTGGACCTGTCTGGGCTGTTGGCAGCTCGACGAGACCTGCGAGGAGGAAGTTGTCCATCTTCACCATCTCCGAAGCTGTGCAAACCAAGCGAAGCGAGTTCTTTGAAGGTGCTGGTACTTCTCTGCCTATGTTTGTCCGAGGCGCTTGCCGGATGAGGGCTACCGCTGCCGCTCTGACGAGTGCTGGATCGCGATGAATCAAGTTTGGCACCATCCGTTGCGGCTTCGACTGCCTCTGCTGCCTCGCTAGCACCTGGCTCGGTGTCAGCCACATGTAGCCTTGCCGCCGCTCCACTTGGAGTTGTAGCAGATTTACTAGAGGATGCTCCTTCTACCTCCATGGGACCAGAAATTACGTCGGCGGTCTCAGCTTTCAGATTTGTGATGCCATCCACCTGAGCATCGTCCACCTCATCCTGCGCAGTGTGTGCTTCCACCTTCAACCCAGCCGTCTCATCGGGCGGTTGGTCGGTGCCGATCGCTGGAGTCTGCAGACCCTCGCTGGTGGTACGCTTGGCGGAGCTTCTCGAGCTTCGGCGAGCCTTGCTGCTTCCTCGACCTGCCCTACCTCGGCCTCGAGGAGCCTTGTTGGATGCGTTCCCTGCATTGGAGCCAATGACTACAGAAGAGGAAGAATCGGGCGAAGGAGACTTGGATGTAGATGTGATCTGAGCAGCTGGAGCTTCCAGATCAGCTCGCGAGACTTGCTCGGACCGAGCTTGAGGTCCAGGAGATGAGAGAGGAGGTGATGTGGACATGATAGCAGCAGCAGAGGGAGGTACGTTTGACGCACAGGCACTCGGTGTCCCCTTGCCTGGCAAAGATGCCCTTGAGTCTCTCAAGATCTGTGGTCTTGGACGAGATCGCGCCGACTAGACAGATCCAAAGTACGTGATGTTAGGCAATCAGCCGGGCGCTTCAAGGCTGGTCAACATCACTCTCGATCCTAACCGCCCGCATACGGTACGATCAGGGATGCTCGCCCTGCCGTGTCTTCATCATTCAGAAAGCGCGCGCCGTGCTGCGCGAAGCTTCTGAGACACGTGACTGTGCCGTCACGTGCGCCCACGCTTTGAAATCGACGCTTTTGACATATCCTTGAAATTCAAGATTTTGATTCTTCGTTTGATTCAAAATTCCTGCTGTTGATTTTCCAGCCAACGAGAGGCGTAGAGGCTTGTCTGATGGTTCCTATCCGGGCTGCGTTCAAAGACCTCGAAATGACACTCTGACTGCACCTCCACAATCTGCAACAGAAAAGGGCTCATGGTGCGTGCCTCTGACGGTACGTGCGACGTTGGTGTGTGTTTGGATTGGGGTGGGGTTGAACGTGTTCGAGTCGAAAGATGACTTTCCTTTTCGTGACTCGGCCGAGACCCAAACGCCATCCGATACGCGCGAATGACGAGCCATATATATACATAGCAGGGTGAGATAAAGAGATACATGTCTCGGTCTCCAAGCAAACTGACATTACGATTGCATGGCTCATCAAAGGACGTGAGTCGTGATCGATGAGTGTGAATTTCGAATCAAGAATCTGAATGCTGCTGCTGGCCGGGTGTGATCGCGCGCGCTTGCCCCCTGGAAAGCATGTAGCGAGTGCGCGCGCGCGTCATTTTGCTGTGAGACACAGCTCAGCCGAGAGAGTCACGCGGTGAGATGGGCCTGGGGCTGCTGTCTACGGGGAGCATGAGCAAGCGCGTCGCCCAAAGCGGCAGGTCGATCGTGAGTACGCTGCGCTGTTGCTGTGTGCACAAGCGTGCGCGTGATGCACGTTTGCGATAAAGTCAGCTAGAAGTGGCTCGTGCACACTGCTGCTGCAGGGTGATTCTTCTTGTTTGCCGTCGCATTTGCGCGTGCTGACGCGCTATACACGCCAAGGTTCGCTGGCGCACATGCAGACAGCCAGGGCAGGGTCGACAACGCGCCGCGTCAGCATGCACGCGCATACACGCAGACAGAACCCCCCGCTCTCCCTGTTTCCCCCCCCGAACCCGCGTTGGTGCATGGCTGCTCCACTTCGCGCGCTTCAGCGAGGCCAACAGGTGTGCCTCCTTCAGGTCCATCCAAGCTCAAGAAGAAGTCGCTAGCCCTGTCTAGGACAACGCTCTGCTCTACCACCAACAGCATCACCAAGCTCACATCAACTTCTGACTCAAGCTCCCCGAACTGGCCATCTATCCACATAATTTCAAGAGGTCGTAACGGTCACAATGGCTGGCGCAACTGACACCAAGAACCAGGAGCTGGCCGAGGCCGAGGCAGTCTCTGCAGAGCCACGCGGAGCTGCCAAGGAGGCCACCAAGAAGCTGGACGAAACGGCAGACGACGATGTCGATGACGACGAGGACGAGGAAGACGATGAGGATTTCGTGAGTCGTCGCGTGACTCGATTCGCAGGCTTCAATTCGGCCATAGCAGAGGAATCAAAGGGAATGACCGGCGCCCAACGGCGGTTGAAGTGTTTCACTTGAAACGCGTGGTACGCGCTCCTGCGTGACTCGCACGCGTCTGCATCCATTTCGTCGTCCTCAACGCTGACTTGAGTCTGCCTTTCTTGCTTCTTGCTTGGTGTCTGTAGGAGGAGGGCGATGAGGAGTGAGTGCCAGTCGCGTCAATATCGTGACGCAAGGTCTATTACTGATTGCAGGCTCTGTGGTCGTGCAGCGAGGATGGTGAGGATGGCGAGGAAGAGGACGGAGATGAGGATGAAGACGATGATGACGAGGAGGACGTAGAGTGAGTCAACTGCCACAACATTGCGCCTCGAAAGGCGAGCTAATTCTGGCTGCCCCTTCTTTTCAAGTGACGAGGATGAGGATGATGCGGTTTCTGGCAAGAAACGCAAGGCGGGAGAGGGAGACGAAGACGAGGATGACGACGACGAGGGCGACGAGGACGAGGAGGATGAGGATGACGAGCCCGCTCCAAAAGCTGCCAAGACCAGCAATGGCGAGGAGATCGACGAAGAGGCTGAGGCCGAGGCTCTAGAAGAGGACGACCTCGCCGAAGATTAGAAGTCCACCTCTTTAATCCTATAGGCGCGCGCACACTACCGTCTTCCTCCGCTCTCACTACCCAAGCCCTGTTAGACTCGATGGACCTTTTGCGCTTCTCGCTCCACCAGCACCTCCGAGCGTTATAAAGCGGATGTGTCTTGCAATACGTCCCACGATTCATCGCCCTAGCGCCAACAATTCTATGTCTGCTCCCCGAATACCGAATACTTTTAAGGAGTCTGCGCTTTTGGCGCTGCATATGCCAAAGGATGGCGGACGATGTGGTGATCCAACTGAGCAGCTTTTTCAGAACGCGTGACCACCTGCCACGACAGAGTTTGCATTCGGTTCCTGCACGAGCCGCTTTTCGAAGGTCGTTGTTCAGAAGGTCGCTTCTCGCCCGATGAGGAAACACACTTCATTCGTCTGACGCTCGCACCCACGACTTAGGGCAGTGCAAAAAGGCTGACCGTCAGCGAGCACCTCTGATCTGAGACCTACTCGTGATTGTTGAGTCCTCGCGCTGGAAACACGAGTCGCGGCTCGCTCGAGCGTCTCTCATCAACTCGTATGATCAGTGTGGATCCTGAGTTGCGTATCGAGGGCCGTGTAGAGATCCTGACACCTCGTCCGCCTTGCATCAATCCTAACTTCTCAAGCAAGACTGGCAGACCGACAGATAAGATCGGAATGGCAGTACACGAGTGTGTGATGAAATGACCCGAGCGCAAAACGAGCATTTAGGGCGCGGCCAGCGGGAAACCCCACCCGACCCATCTTGCAACGGTCGTTGTCGCAGGAAGCTCAAGCTGCCGCAGAAAGGACGTTCAGGAGGATCGTAGGTGAAGCAATAAGAATGAACGAAGTCGAAGTCGAAGACGGGGACGACGGTGAGCTTAGACCTCGGGACGTGCGAGCGTCTTGAGCGCACTCTCATCCGCCCAGCTCGTACGCAAGACCTAGCCGTCATACGCGGCTCGGGGCGTGAATCCTAAGAGTTGTGTGTGTCTGCAAGCAGAACAGCAATCGTCAATCGTTAATCCATGAATCGCGCATCTCCATGCGTGTCCTTTCTAATATCAAGAGTAGCTACGACTGTTGGCCATGGCAGTGGGGAATTGCGAAGGCTCCCACGTCATACACCCGCCTCAGCTGCTGTGCAACTTCCACATCACTGATTCGCATCTGATCTCGATCCGACATTGTTTTTGTACCTTGACAGTTTGCGAGTAGCAATCGAGTGCTTGCACAGTCACGAATCGGTGGGCACGTCGCTCGGGGGACAGCAGTCCGAGTCAGAAGTCGGAGTGTGGACGCCTTCGTGATGCTTGAAAAGCCGTCTTATACTGTACACTCAAAAATACTTGACGTGCGTTGTGCTCTCGTACTGAACGTGGCGCCCACAGATCGAAGGCATGTCGGCATTCACAATCTTGAATCTGAATCTGATGAATCTTACAATTAATTGTGATGGCTCAGCTGCTGGCGCTGCCATATCGAGAAGACGCATGGCCAAGGAACGCTCAGTTCTTCGGTGCTCTTGGCGTGGCGGGGCACTCGATCTTGCCTGCTGCATGCGAGCGCGTGAATCGGACATTCGGACGTCGCGAGAGAGAGGAAGCATAAAAGGTCTGTATACGGTATATAGATTTGCGCGCGCGCATCACGCACCCGTCTTGACTGACTAGTCGCGAGCACAGTGCAAGCGGAGCCGGCTAAGAATTGCAGACTCTCACGGCGTGCAATCGTGAACGAGAGTGAGCCGACCCAGCGATTGATCCCAGCGATGATTGACCGCGTGGTCTAGTCGTGAGTGAAAGATGAGAGCAAACAGACCTGTGTGGTCATGTAAGCTAGCTGTGGCGCGACAAACACGACTAGGAAGTTGCACGACCCGCACAGGCCTTCAGCAGAGGTGGAATTTCTAAATCGGAATCGCGAATCAAATTGTGTGTGGGGGAGGAACCAGAACCTCCGCCGCTGCCCCGTTGCTCCTCCACACCCGCATACCGCTCACTGCCTGCTGTTGCTTCAAAGCTGCAGCCTCGGCAGCCAGGCAGCAGCAGCAGCATCAAGTCGATGAACTTTTGCTTCCGACGACTCCGCAGCGCGTAAGCGCTGCGCATCCACTCTTGACTCGTGATTTATCCATGTGAATCATGACTTCAGCAGCTCAAAGCAATCAAAGCTCAAAGACGATCATCGCTGTGGCCCGAGAGGGCTCTCTGCTCGATTGTTGCTGCCAAATACCTGCTGTACAGACTGCACCCTTTCACACTTACAAATCCACGTCTGCATCACCCTGCTACTCCCACTCGGAATACGGACCGCCGCCTACACTGTGACTTCAAAACACCGAAGGTAGCATTCGACACGCTGACCTCTCTGTCTGCCCACAGCGGCTCAGCACATTGGCTCAGCGGTCGCAAAGGCGAGGGCCATCCTCGGGTCTGAAAATGCTGCCAAAGCGTACGCTTTCGTCATCTAAGCCCAGCCTGGCTCGCGCCCAACACTCTGCTTGAATATTTGAGTCGGCGCCATCTCCCCCTGTGCTGAGCGGTCGTTGCTTGAGTAATCAAGGCCCTCGCTGCTAGTCGATTGTGCCAGGGTCTCTCCCGTCGTCTCTCGCCGGCCCAGTCTTGGCGAAATGTCATCTGCATCTCTCAAAGAGAGGGCTGATCAAGCCGCGGCAGAAGCGGCGCGCCCTTCCTTGTCAAACGAGCATCCTTCTCACATCTCTTTGCCATCACCACACCTCGCTGCTGGCCTCAAGGCCTCCACCACGAGCTCCACTCCCGAAAAGGCGCGCAGAGATGCGAGATACCGTGAAACGTCCTCGGTATCCGACGCAGCACAGCGAGGCACTGCTTCGGCTACCACTTCTCCAGTGCTGTCCTTCGCTGCTCTGCCAGTTCATCCCTTGCGCGCCGCACAACAGGAAGCACAATCGGCAGCTTTGAAGTCAGGAGTCGCTACTTACGCCTCGACAAGCTCCACCCCTGCGATTTCATCTCCCTCGCGCGCTCGCAAGATGGAGCGCGCGTCCTTCGACAGACTTGATGGCTCAGACGATGAAGCAGGCACATCCAACCTGGCTTCTCACAGTCCGGGCAAGCGGCATAGCGGCATCTTGAGCTTCATGGACAGGTTGCGACCGCATACATCCAATTCTCACGATCCCAACGAACTGCGTCGGTCGAATTCAGGGAAGGGGAATCACTCGAGGTCGCATTCCAGCGGGACAAGCATGTTCGCTTCTGGTCATCCCAGCGGTAGAAACAGCGGTAGAAACAGCGGTAGAAACAGCGGGCGGAATACAGGCAAGCACACGCCGACCGAAGCGCCCACTGGCGACTACGCAAGCTATCTGGCAGCCACTGAGCTCAAAGCGCGTCTTGCAGCCGAGCAAGAGGCTGCCATTCGACGTGATCTCGAGCTTGCGAAACACCCTAGCAGGCTGCAAAAGGAAAAGGCCAAGGAGAGAAGCGACGAGAGACGCGGCGACAAGGCGAGCAGGTTGCGCGACTTGGTCAGAAAGATTTCCGATGAGCAGCAGCCCACCCTACAGCAGGGCCCCACGTTGGAAGAGCGAGGATACTTCCCAGGCGATCTTCGGCACCACGGTCATCTTGACTCCACACGCCCTTCGCACAAGAACTCAGAGGCACACGCAGACCCTGGGAATCGGCGAATTGCTCACAAGTCGTCTAAAAGCAAGGCCAAAGCAATGGCTCCTGCGCCGTGCGGCACATTAGAGTTCAGCGAGTCAGAAGACGACGCAGACGGTGCCTCTGATGATCTACTGGTAGGTTCATCCGCAGACGAGAGGGAGAACGGTGACGAGCGCCCAAAGAACAACGCGCCATCAGGCAATTCTCAGAGCAGCTCAGGCACGTCGGACGATGAGGAGACTGTCGACATCATCCATCACGAGCGCGACGCTTCTACAATCTCGCTCAAGTCTTGGCAGACGGGCAAGGGTCAAGATGACAATGCATCGGGAGTCTTCTCGCTACATAGCGGAGGTGCGTCAGCCCAACTGCAAAAACCGCTCTTGGAACTTGAAGAGCTGGAACTCGAGAGCTTCTTGAAGAATTTTGGCCGACACACTCGAGAAGTGCGGGTGCCTGCGTCAGTGAACTTCCCACAGAGACGCATGCCGAGGTGGGAGGACTTCAGGGTGCCGCCCGACGAAGCGGCAGTGGCCGCGCGGCAAGGCAAAAGGGTGACTGTATTGACCCATGTAGATCGAGGTTTGCAACTGCTAGCAGCTTCCGAAGGGCCTGGCGGACCCCAGCCACGCCAATCGGGTAGCAACGGCCCGCATGCCATGAATAAGCATGGTCACAAAAAGAAGCGCCCCTCGAGTGGAAGACAGAGCAGAGGCGCTGGAGAAGCCGCTGGAGAAAGTAGCGCGGGTAGGACAGAGGAAGAGAACACCAGCGCAGACGAAGCCGTCTCGCCGCCTGCAGAGAGGAGCGGTCAGCCGCACGTCACGTGGGCGCCCGAGACCGGCTTTACCACCACGACTGAGCGCGAGCTCCCGGAACCGAATGAGTCGCCCGATGCGAATCTGGCGGGGCTCCGCCAGCGGTCCATCGAGAAGTCGGAGCGCGAAGCGAAGAAGGAAGACAAGAAGCAACAGCAGTCTCGAGAGAGCAAGACCGCTGCTGCGCAAGCTGCCGATGTTGCCGCCAAAGCAGATCGCGCCAAGGCTCACGATCGCAGCAAATCCGACGACCGAGGTGCTGATCGGACAACGCAGACGGATGAGGAGCCTTGGCAGATCATCACGCCTTTGTCGGATGAAGCTGTGCACAATGCAGCCAGCGAAGCGCAGGGTGAACCTCATGTGGATGGTATCGCCTTCTGCATCGCCTACATTCTTGCACTCGTTGAGCGCTACGCACCCGAGGAACTGGACAGCAGTCCTGATCAAGCGTACCGAGAAAGCAAGACGCGAAGCCACATCGAGCGTCTGTACCTCATCGCGCCCTTTTGGGAGCGACTGCTCTTCGGTCTGCGCAGACTGTACAGATGGGAGGACACGAAGCGGACTGGCGCAGCTGCGATGATCTACTTTTTGCTCTGGTATACCAACCTTTTGGCGACTGCATTTCTTTTGATGCTCATGTACTACATTCTCCAGTTCCGCTTCTTCCCTCCGGACGCTTCGGTCCTGCACGAACAAGTTCGCAAGAGAATGGCCCGTGGTGTCGAAGCAGATCGACTAGCCGAACGTCTACGGCGCAGAAGTCGGCTCGACATCTTGGAGATTTACAAGCGTTACGTGATGACGTATGGTTCCGCCACGCAAGCGGCCGCAGGTGACATTGCAGATTTCCACGAAAAGGTCAAGAATCTGATATTGTGGCGTAATCCCACTGCTACCTGGCGGACCCTGACGCTCTTTTCGATTGCGACAGCCTTGGTGACATTTTTGCCGACCGCGGTAGTGGCAAAGATCTTGTGGTTGGTGCTCGGCGTCAGCTTCTTCTTGCTGCTGCCTTTGCAGTCACACTACCCGCGCTATCGACGACCTCTAAGCCCCATTTGGTGGGCACTTTGGGGTACGCCGACCGATGCGCAATTCGCTATTCAGCTCTTACGACGACGACACCTGGAACAACAGGTCGCCGCTGGTGCCGAAAGTAACGATCCTGCGCTACAGCAAGAGGGTGAGGAGGTACGAGCGAGCGATTATCGCAGAGGCAAAGAGGGCAGAAAGAAAGGCATGATCAATGTTCTCACCCCTCTCATGAGATCATCTGCTGCGCACGCCGTCGCTTATGGTCCCATGCGACCTCTCAAAGATGGGGAAGGTGGTCTGCTCTCGCTAGAAGATCGCGTCAAAGACAGGCATGGTCACGAGACGGTCAAGCCTCGAAAGCTGGGCAGTTTCTTCTGCCAGCACAATGCGGTACCGGGCCACCTTCACGTGACAACGCGCATGATCTACTTTGTCGCGCTGCACCATGTCCGGCCCGAAGGTTCTCACAAGTCCTGCAAGACGCCGCTAGAAGAGATTGCGGGACTGGTCAAGACGAAGTCTATACGACTCGTCGTTTGGTCCTCGTCTGGATTGCAGATACAACGCACTACAAAGGGAAGCCTATTCTTTTCGAATATGGCTCATCGAGACGATGCTTTCAACTTGATCTTGGCTATCGGCTCCGAAGTTTGGAGCAAAGTCTAAACTGCGGACGACGGCGAACTCTCACCTTTTCTGTTTGTTTCTAAGCTTCTACGTTATTACCTGCGCTACCATCTACACCATCCGATCTGCCAATTGGGGCGCCTGATCTGAACGTTTCTACCTGTCATGGATCTTTCAACTTGTCTCTGGTGTTTCCGTCTTCTGTCTTTACTCCTTTGATCTGCCTGCGGTGCACCTTCACTGCTCGGCGTACTTGCACCGCTCTTTTACCAGTCACTGCTTTGTCACCCTTTCACTTTGCAATGCTTTGTAACATCTCAACAGTCAACAGCGGCTGAAATGCTCAAGTTGCCAGCGAGCCTGGATTCTTTGGATACGATCACGGTGGCTGTGTCCGTCGAAGAGTCACGAGTGGTGCATGGACTTTTGCGGAGAAGGCTGTTTTGCGCAGACAGACTCGTGGAGCGGTACGTTCGACACGTGACCTTTGTCGGCAAGGATCGGGAAAGAAATTCAAAGAGGCACCAACGCGCCCCAGGTCGGGTATCCGATATACAGCGCTCGCAATTACGATCCTGTGGAAGGAGCGGAGCAACCACGCATCAAGGAGCTAAGCAAGCACAGGTCACGAGTATCATCAAACTCGATCGTGGTTATACCTCGTGCTTTCGCTTGCTCTTGTCGCCCCAGAATTTGAAAGGGTGGAGTGCTACTGACCGAATGATGAGCATTGCAGCAGAGATGGTACCATTAGATGCAGCAATGTGAATGTGAATGTGAAATTTCAACATCTTGTTATTCATTGTATGCCGGCCATGCTGCATGTGCTCCGCGGCTCTGCTGGGCTGGCTGCATGGCTGGTGCGCCGCGATGATGCGAATGCGAATCAAATGCTGCGTGCTTCGATGGGGCGGGCGGTTTTTCTGATGGCATGAAAGGCCGCGAAGAAGCAGCAGCATGATGCAGCCGCGATGGGGAGGCTCCTTCCTATACGCGGGCGCGCGCGCTTGCGAGACGACACAGCTATAGGGCGGCGCTGCGTGCGATAATCAAATCCTCGCGCGTCGTCCTTTGCACACATGCAGCGCTGTCCTGACCGGACGATCAAAGTATCCAAACGTTCTGGACAACCTTCACTATACCACATCGCCTCGCGCGTCATCTAGTTGCAAAGCATTCCAAAGGTCTTTCGATTCGTCAGAACACATTCTAGCACAAGATGTTGGCTGCACGATCTGCTCTGCGCGCTTCTATGCGCTCGGGTGCCGCACCCTCCAGCCGTCTCTTCAGCTCCTCGGCCATCAATAACAAGGCCGTCGCTGTTCTCGGCGCTAGCGGTGGTATCGGACAGCCTGTGAGTGTCTTCAGCGCCGTCTTTTGGACCTGCCCGATAGGCAATGCCTTTTGCCGGCACGAAGCGATCTCTATGGCCTACCCGGGGGATCTGCTTTCAGTGCACGAATGCTTGTTTTTCGCAGTGCCTTCGCTCGTGTCCAGAGTCGCCATCGTTTCCAGCCACGGGCACAGATACTGCACACTTTATGGCCTTACCTGATCATCAGCGCTGACAAATCTCGTGTCTCCCCACTCACAGCTGTCTTTGTTGCTCAAGAACGACCCTCTGGTCACCAAGCTTAGCCTCTTCGACATCCGTCTCGCCCCTGGTGTCGCTGCCGATATTGGCCACGTGAACACGCCCGCCGTCGTAAGTGCCTGGCGCTTCATTCGATGAGAGAAGAAGGCTCTTGCTTTCTCCATCCGTATTGACCGCTATGCTTCTTTCGTCGCTTTTCAGACCACCGGATATGGAGCGGAGGACAATGGTCTGGAGAAGGCTCTTGAGGGCGCCGAGCTGGTTGTTATCCCCGCTGGTGTCCCTCGCAAGCCAGGCATGACCCGCGACGACCTCTTCAACGTGAGTTGGTCGAACGGTGCGAGAAGGCGTGCAAGGCCTCCTGGTCCATTTATGCAATTCCAGTCTCGCTTCCGCGGCGTTGCATCTGATCTCGTTTTGCTCCTTCATTTTGCGCGCTCTTTCAGACCAACGCCTCCATTGTTCGCGACTTGGCCAAGGCTGCTGCAAAGGTCTGCCCCAAGGCGCACCTCCTCATCATCTCCAACCCGGTCAACTCCACTGTCCCCATCGTTGCCGAGGTGTTCAAGAAGGCTGGTGTTTACGACCCCAAGCGCCTCTTTGGTGTGACCACTCTCGACGTGACCCGCGCCTCCACCTTCCTCAGGTAAGTCCTAGAGCGAATTTGCAGCCTGGTTTGAGCGTTGCGACGAATCCGACTGACATGCCTTTTGTTGTCTTTTGCTGGTAGCGGCATCGCAAGCTCTCACCCCGCTGAGACCATCGTGCCTTGCGTTGGAGGTCACTCTGGACCCACAATCGTTCCTCTCCTTTCCCAGGCCAAGCAGGGATCCGCTGTCAAGGCTGGCGAATTTTACGAGAAGCTCGTGCACCGTATCCAATACGGCGGTGACGAGGTCGTCAAGGCCAAGGTGAGTAAAATAGTGTGAAATTAAATGGATGAAGGATGATGTATCTAGGTGGACATAGGCAAAAGATTCGGGTGCTGGAAAATTCGCACGCTCTGCGCCAAGCAATTTCAGGCGATTGCTGACTATTTGCGCCCCATCTCTTTGCGACTGTCACAGGATGGTGAGCATTGAGTTGATGCAGTGCAGCTCCTTCTCCTACGGGTAGACTATACTTGTTTCACCTGGGGGTAAGCGCAGTATCAGCGAGTAAATTGCTGACTGCTCTTGCCGTTTCTTCGATGTCAAGGTGCCGGAAGCGCCACTCTCTCCATGGGTAAGTGCTCAAGCTGACATGGAAATGCGTGCAGAGCGACGCGTGTCTCTAAGTTGACACAGTACAACGCTTCCTTCAACAGCCTACGCTGCTGCCGTGTTCTCCAACTCCTTGATCCGTGCCATCAATGGCGAGGGCAACGTCGTCGAGTGCACCTATGTCGACTCTCCTCTCTACAAGGACCAAGGCGTTGACTTCTTCAGCTCCAAGGTCACTCTTGGTCCCGAGGGTGTCAAGGAGATCCACCCTGTCGGCCAAATCACACCCGAGGAGGAGAAGGTGCGCACGCAGTTGAGGATCGCACCGCTATAGCCAAATTGAGCCAACTGACACGAAACGCATCGCGTTTCTGCCCCTGCCTGCTCTCTTGCAGCTCCTCGAGGCTTGCTTGCCAGAGCTTTCCAAGAACATCAAGAAGGGTGTCCAATGGGTTAGCGAGAACCCCTGAGCGTTCAGAAACTTTTCCGCGAAGAACGTTCTGGACACCAAAACAGGGGCTCATTTGTTTGACTGCGCAGGAATCGTTCATCGTGCACGCTGCCTTTCATCGGTCCTCTTGTTGCCCACATTTGCGTAATTCAAAAAATTGGCGATGAGAGCTTGCGAGAATTCACCCCGAATTCACCGCTGCGCTTTGAGCTAGATTTGCTGCGAGTGACCTTCATGCTCGGCTCGGAGAGGGCGGCTAGCTGCAATTGGTGCGGTCACGTCATAACACTAAGCCCATCGACGGTGCTTCCAACTCACAGACTGACACTCCTTCAAATGCAGCCCAGACTCTTTCGTACTCGGCACAATCAGCGCGTGAATCGCGTGAAAATGGTGTGACATTGCTCGTACTCGAGAAAGTGGCGGATGTTTTGAACAGAACACGACACGATGAGATATCGAAAGGGAAGGGAGGGAAGCGTTTCATATGATAAGGGTCTTCAAGAGGGACTTGAAAGCGGCGAGTCGCGCGCGAAGCCAATCAGCGTGACTGATGAGGATCGGTGATCTGGGGACCAGCACTGTAGAACGACTTCGTCGGGATACCTTGCGTCGTGTTCGTAGGCTGAGGTGCCAACGGTTTGGCTGGAGACGTGCTGTTACTGCCGCTTGCCGAATCTGCGCGCACATGCGCAGGGGCTGCCCATGCTGGACGGCTCGCGTCGGTCTTCAGTCGAGCAGCATGCATGCTTTGGCCCCGTTGACTGGAAGGGAGCACGGCTGGCATTCCGTATGGATGGTTACCTGGCAGTGGGTCACGGCTGAAGCCTGGCTGGCCGTTGCCCAACGCAGCGTCCCAGCTTGGTTCGTCCCAAGGCAGTGCAGCCATTCGAGGCAAGGATACCTGATGCTCTTTTGAAGGTGGCGCAGCTTGCTCACCTCCACCACGAAAAATTTTGCCCCAAGGAGAATCTGGCTCGTCCCAAGGAAGACGCACAGCAGAGGGCAAGGGCGGGCCGGGCCATCTCGGTCTTTCGCCTGCTGTCACAGCCGCGCGTGCCCGATTTTGGACGGGTGGACCCCACGGCGCACCAGTGACATCCTCATCCCACGGAAGAGGTGCAGGTCGCGTCTGGACCGCACTTGCGCTGGGTAAAGGAGCTGGAAGACCGGCAGCCAAAGCTGCTCGAGCGCTCGATGGGCTCAAAGGAAGGAGCGGTCGCGATGCCAAGGGGCTCAGAGAGGTCGCAGGCCGCGGCGCCACAGCTGGCAAAACATCTGATTGGCTTGCTGGCGCCTCTGCACTGGTCACCACGGTTTGCGTTGGGCTGCTGGAGTTTGTCTCGTCCTCGGGCGCACCCAAGTCTCCTTCCAAGACAGCCGGGCCTCGTCTCTCAGCATGCAATGTAGGGCTGCCTTGTCGAAGTTCGGGTCTTTCACCATGCACAATAGGGCTGTCGGGCAGGGCGTCTTGTCGCTCCGCATGCGGAGGCGGGCTCGCTTGTTGGCAAAGGGCCGGGACTTCTTGTCCAGGGCCAGCGATCGGATCTTGCGTCGACCTCGTAGGACTCGAGGTCGATTGCCGCAAGTGCTGCGGAGAAGGGGGGCCCTGATGTCGTGGCGGAGAACCGAAGTAGTAAGGCGCGAGAAACGGGACGTCGGCAAGGGTGCTTGGAAGAGGTGGTCTGGAGCCGGATGGTCCGGCCTCTCCTCGCGACTCGTAAAATTCTTGCATCTCCGCTCTGAGCCGTTCGGCATTGATGACATCAGCCGCTCGCTCAGCAAGATCAGATTGCCTTTTCGTCTTGTATCTAGCACGACGGATGCGAGCTTGACACGCGGCGTACGACTTGCGGTCTTCTTTGCGCTTCGCAGTGAGGATCTTGATGGCTTGCACGATGGGACCTCTGCCCTCACCATCCGAACCTGCCGACTGCTTGAAAGCCATTCTGGCAGCGTTCTGGGGATCATATCCACGTTCCTTGAGCCGCCGAACTCGGGCGTTGAATGCGCCTTTGGCTCTATGGACGTCTTGCGCCGACATTCCATTGGTTTGAAGTATCGCAGGAGTAAAAGGAAGAAGCATGAGTTTCCCGAGATCTGTGGTAGCGATGTCGTCCGCAGGAATGTCTTCGGGCCGTCGAGGGTCTACACCATATCGCGTGGAAGTAGCGACTTTCTTGGGCGAGTTTGTGCATTCGGATCTTGATCTCAAGCTCGCATCTTGCCCGTCGTCCACGACTTCACCCGACACATCGTCTTCGACATCGGGAACCGCGTCAGCATCGCCCTCCGGCAATTCGTCGCCAAGCAAATCCGGCAGGTCCTCCTCATCAGGCTCGCCTCGCAAGACAGCGCCATTTTCACCATGCATGGACTCGGTATCAGCTTCAGGCTCGTCATCCGTCCGCTTCTTGGAGCGACGCACACGTGCCAGGTACGCATTCCGATCTCGGCGATCCGCCATGAGCTGTTCCCATTCTGCACGGGAAAAAACCCTCGCCCTCTTTCCGTGCGGAGGGCTGTATTCGAAATCGTAAAGACGTCCAGCGACATCTACGAATTCGGTTCCAGGAGGATAAACGCTCTTGTCAAACCAAGGCTTCGGCTTAGTCGGCGGTCTCCCAATGCGTTTCTTGCGACGCTTTCGCTGTACGTTGTTGACGAGAGCAGTTGGTGCTGCTGAAGGGTCTCCATCATGCGACAAATCCGCAGGATCGTCATCTTCAGACACAGATTCGCCCGGCAATTCTCCCGCGTCTCGCCTGAACCGGCCTCGCGCCTCAGAAGCTTCGAGGTCAGAGATCTCGTCCTGGCTAGGCGCGCTCGGGTCAATCGCAGTCCTTGAGCCGTTTCCAGCCTCGTCGTCTCTCACAGTTCGGGTGGAAGGCTTGTTGCCGAGTAGTAAGCCCTCGTCTGTACTGCGTTTCCAAGGCACGCTGCCCGATTGCTGAGCTTGTGCTCGAGTTGAGCGTCGTAGATGAGGCTCCGCGGGGCGATACTTCCATGCAGTGCCCAATCCTTTGAATTTGGATCGTTTTGGATTAGGCTTGACAGACTCCGCCGCAGCTTGCTTCCTCTTCTTGCTGTTCGTGGGGCCAAGTGAGGGTTGCCACCGTTGCGGGGCAGCCGACTTGCGGCCAGACCGCGTGTGAACGACTGTTCGAGGCTCGGAGTTTGCAGGACTTGCCGCCTCTGCGGCACGCAGGGCTCCCTTACTCTGCTTCTCCGCAGGCGAGACCTCTGGAAAGCTTAGCGAAGCATCGTCATCGCTGAGATTCTCCTGGTCAGTGACCTTGCCTGCCAATTCCGCGAGACGCGCGAGCGCAACCACGTCGAGTTCCGTCTCTTCTTCCGTCTCATCAGAATCTGCTGCCACTTCATCTAGCTCCTTCGCGAGCGCCTCGTTAGAGTTCATCTGCGCAGTCGATGGACCTGCCGAAACCGTCGTACCGGAGAGACCAGAAGGAGACGAGGGGCTAGGAGTCGCATCCTTTTCGCTGCCTTTCCTGGCCACTTGGTGGTCGTGCACAGTCGTATCATCCCAGTCAAATATCGCGGGACCCTGATCGTCGCTTGCATCAGAGCGCCGACCCGGACTTTGACCCCCTTCTTGTGCCAGATGACCAAAAGCTCTCTCAGTCGAGGCAGCGGCGCTCGAGCCCGACTCCGCCTCCTCTTCCTCTTCGGACATTGCGCGCTCAATTTCAGTGGGACTGCCGACGAGTCGGCTGGAGCGCCTCGGTGCTGACGATATCATGCTCGATAAGAGTGACCTGGCTGGTGACACTGGGGTCGAAGAGGTTTGTTGGCTTCTTGGCGTGCTTATCGGTGTTGATGGGGCAGGACTCAGACTCGCGCTGTGGCTTGGAGAGGCCACTTGAGATCTGGCCAGACTGCGCGCCTTGCGCGCCTCGGCGGCGCGAGCGAGCTCAGCTTCCTTAGCAGCCCGTTGCCGTACGAGAGTGGATACGTGTTGACTGATTTTGGCCTGCCGAGCGGCGCGACGCTCTTCCGCGGAAACAGACGTGGAGCCTGGTGTCCCCGGCGTACTACTATCCGGATTTTCGGAGCCAGTAGCAGAGGCTGCTGTCGCTGCTGCTGCTGCCGCAGCCGCGGCCGCCGCCTTCGCACGTTTGCTCTTGCCCCGGGCAGAGGCGGAAGCAGCTGCTTCAGCGGCTTGTGTGAGCAGCTGTCGCTGTGACACAGTGCCAGGCGCCAACTTTTTGCCGCCAAGAATGCCCGAGCAGTTGGCTGACTTGCAAAGACAGCGCTCAGCAATTGTTGCAGTGGTATCAGAGGTTGCGCTAATCTGGGTTGCGCTCGTTGAGGGATCACTCGATGATGATGCGCTGCCACTCAAGCCGACAGCAGCGCCTCTTGCCGCAATGCCTCCTGCAACAGCTTTGCGTGCAAACGCAGACCATCCTGCAGTAGGCCGTAAGCGCGTAAGTGAGCTTCTGCTATGGCACGTACGAGGTAATAGGGTGTAGGGATGCAGCCACTCACCATAATCATAGGTCAGCTCCTCTCCTGGCTCGATGTCCCTCAGCGCATACAAGCCAATTTGGAATTCTGCATCTCGCTCCTCATCCGATCCGCAAACAAGCCACTTCTCGATGTAGCAGTTCGGATCGCACTGGCAATGACGCGCAAGTCAGCAGAGATGGCGCACACTTCTCTCCAATCTTTGCGTTGGTCGACTTACAGAGTGGTTGGCAAATCGGGTGATGTTGCCCTTGAGACCTCCGTCAAGCACTTCGCCCGCAGCATTGTCGTAGTCCAAAAAGTAAAAATTGCCAGTGGCTTTGTAGAAGTCAGTGACGCGACGTGCGCACTCTGCGAGGTTGATCACCTCGCCGCGGTACTCGTCGATGAATTGATCTTTTTGAATGCGCTGCTGGGTCTGCAGACCGAATCCGCGTTCTCCATACTAGCGCCCACAATTTCACGAGGATAGGCGCATCAGCGCACGCATGTGAGCCGAAGATTGCGTCGCACACGACTTACATATGTCACTGTAGTCGTCACTTTGGCACGCTTTGCCAAAGAGATGTTGGTGCACCTCTCGCCACATGGACACTGCTTCGGGTTGCAAATGTACTGCAGCACCCTGTTCATGCACTCCTCTCCGCAATTGCTAGACGGCTCGCAGATGCACACCGGCACTTCACCATGTATGCGCTTGCGCGACACCCATCTATTCTTCGAGATGGATTTGTAGGGTGGAGGTTTCTTCTTTGCGTCCATTTTGTCGCGGAGCTCTTCTCCACGCTTCGCGATCGGGTACGCGAGCCGAAAGTCTCTCTGCTCGACAAGCAGTGTGTTGCCGTAGTGAACAGGCGCAGGAAATGCCGAGGTGCCTTCGGAAACGCGCGTGCGAACAGTCCCGCGTGGTTTGACGGCTGGCAACGATTTGCGGGAAGCTTTGCGTGCTTTCTCTGGCGATGACAGCTTGAATGTGCTAGAGTATAGGCCTGCGCTCAAGAATGCCTGTCGAAGCACAGCACGGGTCGGTTAGCATATTCCGGACGCTGACTCTCTTTTCAGTCGTGCAACAACCCACCTTCTTTTGCCATGGAGAAGGTCTTGCCCTGGAGGAGGTAGCTGAATCAGGAGCAGCGGCTGCAAGCCCATTGCAAGCGACAGACTCGCTTTGCGGTGCCTGCCGATCGCTATCGGTCAAGCGGCGGCGCTTAGAACTCGAAGGTCGATCTTTTTGATTGGGGTCAGAGGCAACTCCTTTCTCTGCCAGTTTCTTTGACTTTCCATTTCGAGACTGAGTCTTCGAACTGGGGGAAGTTTGAGCTTGAGCGCGCAGAGATCGCTGACTCGAGACCTGAGTCCCGCTCGAATGTCGTCTCCGGGCAACAGCAGCAGACTTGTAGGTCCTACTGAGAGCTTTGCCAGTCCTAAGGCCCGGCGTGCCAGGCGCAGAAGCGCGCCGCTTGACCCTGCGCATCACAGGATGGCTGTTCTGAACATCGTCGTCATCTTCAGCCAGTTCACTTGCTTCCTCTCCCTGCTCGTCATGCTCCTCCTCCGCCTCCTCTTCACCTTGCTCGCCATCCTCTTCCCCCTCTTCCCTTTCGTCCTCTTCTGCCTCTGCTGCTTCTCCTCCGCTTTCCTTTTGATCTTCTTCTCGTTCGTCCACCGTCATCCCTTTTGCCGTCTCTTCTTCCTCCGCTTCACTGCTGGCAGCGTCCGACGCTACCTCGACACTAGAAGCGAAGCGCTCACTTGATCCGCCTGAATGATGTTCAGCAAGCAAGGTGGTAGCAGTTTGCTTTGCTCTGCGCTGCAACGCACGCCTCGGCAAGGAAGAAGCCTTCCTCTTAGAGGGAACAATCGACGCAGACTCTGAAGGGCGCCCGTTTGTGGGCTCTGCTGCTCGCGTATTGCCCGATGAGCTGCTGGCCGTCATGGACTTTCGACGTTGCAGCTGCTCAGTCAGCAGTGTTGGAGAAAACCGATTGGCGGGACGACGCTGTCTCGGACTCATCAGGACAAGATTAGACGCTTCTTCCTGCTCCTTTCGCCTCCGTCTTACCGGTCGCGGCCTATCGCTCGCATCGCCTTCGCTGCTCGACTCCTCGCTGCTCGCCTCTAATGCTGTAGTATCGTTTCGAAGTCTGGGCCGCAGCACTCGATGGTTGCGAGCGTTCGCAGTGAGCGGAGGAGTGCGGGTCAAGTCCACCACCACTCTGCTCTTGTAGGTCTTGGTAGTGCCTGATCGGGCTCTGCGAGGGCTGGCAGGTAGAGAGTCGACGGATTCCATCAGTGGAGCCGTCTGGGAGGCGGGTGGGGGTGCCGAGAGAGAGCTGATGGATGAAGCAGAAGCGGATGAAGAAGCACGCTCTGCTGCGTTCAGAGGGCGAGGCGAGGTGCTAGCTGCGGAATGATGCTTGGCCGAGTGTGAGTCCATTGCGTCGTGCTGGATGCTTGGCGGGTACTTCACACGACGATGGCGTCCGCGGGCAGACGGACCGCCTAGGCGCATCTCTAATTCCTCATTCTCCATGACTTTTTGCGATTTTCGCACGAGGCGCTTTGACCTGCTGCTTCCCATTGCCGAGTCATCGCCATCCTCGTTGTCGGTCTGCTGACGACTGCTTGGTCGACGCCGCGCGGCCACACCGCTTCGAGGCAGCAGAGTAGCCGGCATGGCGAAAAGGGCCTGATCTTGCTCGGCGCAGGCAGAAGCAGTGATTGCGGCTACGCCAACGTAAGCCTCTTCACCAGCTACTGATCACGCGCTGCTCTTGATGGTGTATGTGTGTGTGAGATGCGTTCGCAGCTGTTTCAGTTGGGAGCACGAACGCAGCAGACGTAAGCCTATACGGGCGACGAGGGCGTGACGCGAGTGGGCGGGGTAGGGCGGTGCGTGCAGCAGAGGACGAGCGCGCGCGCAGACTTCCGCTCCCCGCTCCCGCTCGCGTTTGGGACGTTCGCGATCGGTCTAGTCACGAGTGAGTGCCCTTGCGCCGCTGGTGCGTTACAGAAAGCTGCTCTGCGCGGCTAAAGACTGCTCGGCTAGGCTGCGATTCGCACAAGTGGCCCGAAAGCGCAAATGATAGCGAAAGCTCGTCGCTGGGACGACTGAAGATTGTGATTCTAAATCAAGAATGATGCTGAAGGCAAAGTGGATGATGTATCACGATGCTAGACAACTTTTGCTTGGCGTGGGATCATGGTCAAGACCAAAGATGCGAAAGCGTCGCTCTGCACGTCGCCTCCTTTGCCGCACAGCTCGGGCCGCGTCTTGCTGCTAGCTGGCCCTCTTGCCGCGTGCTGTGTGACGCTGATACCGAGCGATCTCGTCGCCAGGAGCTCGTGATTGCTCAACGCGCGCCATCTAGGCACTCAGAACTTACCATCTAATCGCGATACTACTATCCTTTTCGCCTGAATCAATGAGTATAGGTATGCGACATATCAAGCACAGACAACACGCTGAAAAAAGTGACGTCCGGTTATAATCACGGGTCAACTTCGTTCTACCAAAGGAAGCACTCGTCGTCATGATATGGGCCAACTTCGAATAAGGTGGCGCTACCTCCGACTAAACCTCTAAGCACCGAATCTTGTCACATGTCTAGAGAGCTCGACAATGTACAGATCTAGGTATCTGCCTCTCTGGAAAAACCCGCGCTACGACCTTCGTGTTCTCTCCGGAAAGCTGCGCCTGCACAAAGTTGGCGTACCAAAAAGCCGTCCCTCACATTCCGCGACGGTCAAGGCGAATGTCCTGATCATTCAAGACGCTTGGGTGATTTTCTCTTAGGAGAGAGACGAATAATAGTAAGGGGGCATGGGTCTATGCCTGACACGCTGACGCTGACGATTTCGATCATTCGAGTGAACGCCATTCTCGTGACGATAGCGATGCAAGACGTCAAGCTTCATGGCAAGATGTGGCGTAGATCAAGTAAGTCGATAGGTGCAAGATTCTGTGAGCACAGCGTCATAGTGCCAATTGTTCTCAACCGAAGACAAGCAGGTGTGATATTGAATGTACCTCATGGCAGGACAAGGTGCTTCCGCCACCTCGACAGACAGTAGAGACTTTTGTATCCCTCTTATTTGTTCAAGAAGCGGGAGCCGCTAGTCAGTCAGTCGATAGATCGTCCCAGATTTTGTCTTATGTAAACCCTTTCACTGCTATACTTGGCCGTCTCGAGGGGCCAGGCGCCGTCGCGCACCTCAGCCAGCCTCGCAATAACGACATTCTTCGCCGTGTGCACACAGTCGCATTGTTGATAAGTGAAAGGCAAACAAAGGACTCTCAAGATACGCACTTGAGCTCTTCATACAAGGCTCTCAACCTGGCAAGCAGCGAGCGGCATTTTTGATGTCACGTATCGCTAAGACGATAGCGACTGGCTTTGACCTCATGGCAGCGTTTGTCCCACTTTTATTTTCCGCTGGCCAACGAGTAAGCCCGAGAGCAAGACTTCGCAGCTTGTCTACAAACAGCTAATTTGTGCGGGCACACTCAAAGATGAACTCACGACTGGACATCGCGTGGCTCACGCACACACGCCTCACTTCACAGCCTCTTACGGGCCGCGCGACGGGTCATCACATGTCTACGCGCTATACTCCGACACACGCACCGCTCACAAATTGATATCTGGCGGTCTCTACCTTCTGACATCTCCGCACAGCCGTGGACCGGGATTCCTGTGCCGCAATCATCTAGAACGTCTCCCTTTTGATGCGTCTCTTCGTCTTGAGCTGATCGCGATCGTTGGTCACGACTCAAGCTCACACTCATGACTGCAAATATACGATAGATCTCGACGGTCGTGCGTGACGAACTTGATATCATGCGTTATGCATCGCGTCGCTATTTAACGCGTCGCGCGCGACGCGCACGCGCCTCACAGGGACGATGATCGAGCTGTCAGACAAAGAGCTTAGTGCGTCGTACCGGTACTCACGAGTCGTGAGTCGTCAGTCACGAGTTGAGTCAAGTGTGAGCGCAGCAAGGCGGAGCGCTGTCACAGTCACGAGTCCCGATTGAGTATCGTGGCTTGACCTTTGCAGCTACGCCGCTCAAAAAGATAGCCTGCTTGCCGCTCTTTATCCCTCTACTCACAACTCGCGCCGACTCGCGAGTCGGCGCAAAGACCGGGAATCGTTTATGCAGCTGCATGTATGCAGCTCCATCCGCTAGGCGGCAGGCCGGCCGGCCGGTCGCAACGAGATCGAGGACCACTGCCTCGGCTCGCACTACTGCGTGCGTTCCTTTGGAAGAATCCTATAGCGACGCTCGCTGCACCTGGCTGCACGAGGGCTGAGGTGGGAATCGGGGGAGCAGCGTGGATCTGAGATGAAAAAGTAAAAGGCAGCTCCACTCATGCTGCTGCTGCTGGATGATTGCACCTCCTCGATCACCAGAGGTGACCTTAAATCTTCACATTCATGATTCATGACTTGCTCACCAAGAGCAGATTGGTGGATGCATCTCTGCTGCTGCAACTCGCAGACTACTTGAGAAGATTCGTAGGCTCAAGACTACCGAGCCATTCGCTGCGCCAAAAAAATCCTTCACAGACCTTTGTCTGACCGGGGCATCCCAGCCCGCGAAGCGCTGCGAAGGGTTCTCAAGGGTCATGCGGGCGGGCTTTCGAGGTACTGCTTACTCAAGATAGCCGATCTTCGAGCATACACGAGACGAAGTTGTGTACAGAATCCGCAAGAGCTCAGATCACAAACCTGAACGCCTCCTGCCCCGAACATCAAGGAGGGGGAGTACACAGCGAGCGCAACCTCAAGATGTTGTTGCGGACCAAAGTTGCCATTCTGTGCATCGCGTGTCTCGTCGTCCTCTGGCTGAATTGGCTCCGAGGCGACGCGCTCGAAAATACAGAGTCGGGATACAAGCCGCCCAAGTTGGATTTGTCCAAGCTCAATCCCTTGCCCAAGAGGCCCATCATTGGGAGCGATGGCACGAGATTGGACAGTCGCAAGCCTCGAGCAGCCTTCGTGATGCTGGCTCGCGAAGTGGAACTGGATGCGCTACTAAAGACGATCCGGGAAGTTCAGATGGCATTCAATGGCGAGAAACATGCGCGGTATCCGTACATCCTACTCTCCGATCCCGGTCTGCCCTTTTCGCCATGGTTTCGATCTAAAGTCAAGGCTGTCGCATCCAGCGCTGGTGTTGAGGCTCGTTTTGCAGAAATACCAAAGGAGCATTGGGACATCCCGAGCTGGATCGATCAGACGCGCATGTATGAAGGCTTCAAGAAGATGAAGGCAGGCGGAATGTTATACGGCGATAGTCTGAGCTACCGCAAAATGTGCAGGTGGGTGTATGGAGGCGTCAAGGGCTCGATCAGCTGCTTGATGGCTGAAATGCTCGATGACCCTTGCGCACGGCATGCCTCTTCACAGGTATCAGTCCGGCTTCTTCTGGCGCCATCCGATGCTCGACAACCTCGATTACTACTGGAGATTAGAGTGAGCCTAATCAAGCAATCTTTCGACGTCACTTGCTGTCTTTAAGATCATTTTGCACCTTTGCTCTGCAGACCTGGCGTCAAATACCCCTGCGACATGCGCAGACGAGATCCCTTCAGGTTTATGAGAGGTGAGTCAAGAAGCACGATGTCGAGCTCAAAGCCGACATCTTTGCTGATCGCATTTGGTGACAGACAACGGCAAGAAGTACGGCTTTGTGATCACCATCAAGGAAAGCCCGGGAACCATCAAGACACTCTGGGTGAGCTGTGTTATCGGAACGCCACAGCAGTCTGACGGCTCCAAGGCTGACTGAGGCACATTCTATCACGCCCGCCTGACGATCAACGCAGATGTCTGTTCTGGGTGAGCCTAGCTTACACGTCATTCGGAAAACGTGTGCACTGACTGTCAAGCAACCGCCGCGACAGAGTGGATCAATACGCACAAGCATCTGATTCCAGCGGACAACTCCTTGCGCTTCGTCGCAAAGCCACACATGAACGCTTACAACAAGGTGAGCAGAAGCGTCCCGCGTGAATTTGACATAGTCTGCATCCAGTTCCTGAATCTTGTCCGCACTTTGCGCCTGCAGTGTCATTTTTGTGGGTCTATAGTCCTCTAACGTTGCATCATTGACTGACTGACTTTGAGAGAGTGCCCACCCAACCAATTACATAGGGTCGAGTGAGTCGATGTTCCGTTCACAGTCTGTAGTGATCTGCGAGTGCTGATCAAGGCCTGTTGTTGTCGCTTTCTGCTCAGATTTCGAGATCGCAGACCTCTCACTTTGGAGAAGCCAAGCATGTGAGCATTGATGGACATCTCTTGTACTTTATGGGCCCACACCAAGCTGATCGAATCTTTGGAAATCGCAGACCAGTCCTTCTGGGCCCACCTGGACGCTGCCGGAGGCACATTCTACGAAAGATGGGGAGATGCGCCAGTGAGTTGCCGCACAGCATCTGTCAGCGTTCCAAACATCTGCTCAAAGTTCTCTGGTCTGCGCACTAGGTGCACAGCATAGCCGCTTCCATGTTGCTCAATCGTAATGAGATACAGTGAGTGAAAGCTGCGCAGCGATCCATTCGACCAGGCTGATCCTGCATACCCCGAACCGCGTATGATAAGCTACTTTGAGGGTGAGTCCAACCGACGCTTTGCCATGTAGCTAGCGTATCGTACGAGGATTGCTGACGAGCGCGAGCTTCTGACGGACGTGCCAGATATTGGATACTTCCACAACCCCATCCATCACTGTCCCAGATCTCGCAAGGACGCCGCGAGATGCGCATGCGATCCGCACCAGAGCTTCGACTATGACAAGTTCGGGTGGGTCAACAGCCCTCTACCCTTCTGCTCGATGCCTTTCACTCTGACCACTCATTCGCACTCATCTCACACTCCCCCCCCCC